ATACCTATGAATAATCTTATATTCAGTTTTTTTATCAAATCCCGATTACTGCTTAGTACCTTTAACACAAATAAACATAAAATAAATTATTCATTTCTAAGTTTTACAATATATTTCAATTATGCGTTCTAATATAATTATAAAAAGACTATGAACTTAGTATTCTACAAATGTAAACCAATATAACTAACCAATATGACATTCAAAACCCAAGATTTACATCTTCGGTGTTCACCCTGTAAAATTATACACAATAGTTCAAATGTCTCTGTATTGTTAACAATGTACACATTCTTTTAACTATCAGGTGGTCATACACGTGAAGATCAAAACTGACAAACACAAAAACACATGTAGTTTAACAAAGTACATTTAATAATATATGTTATTTTTCTTTTTCCGAAAAGGTTGCGAGATCTGAGATCATATAAATTTTAACTGTTTCGCGCAAATTATACCAAGGATATTGAATAAGAAGTTTTGTAAACAGAAAATTCGGGACATACTTTACAAACACATAAAAAATAATTCAATAATATAGTATAAACTGTGCGACTTTGAAGCTGCTTAACACAGAGAACAAAATAGTGGTCCTCTTAACTTTGTAATTTTTATAAATCGGTAATACCGGACCGATATTTGTCTGACGTTCACGAAAACCTTACATTACACATGTTTTAACATAAAGAAAAGAAACACAATAACAAGAGTGTATCTCTTTGATGCTGTGACAATTTAACTGGGTAAGAAATAACAAGCTTGCTGCCCGTTAAAATCGTCACCTTTTTAGATTTGTGAATGTTGATAAGATAAAAATTTTAAACTTGCATAAAAAACAGAAACACATTTATGAATCGAGACATTTTTAGATCATAGAAAAAAATGATAGTTACAAAATTAATGTCCTATTTAAGCAATTAAGCATTCAGAGTTGAGCCAGAAGGTCACTTTACCATGTTTACCAGTGTGTCGGAAAAATATGACTGCTAAAATTTTAGTAGTTTTTGTAAATCACAGAATTTTACAGTTGTTTTTATAGCTGGTAATTTGATATACGTGTTGAGTGTGAAATATTTTCTGTAAGAGAAAAATACCTAATTACAGTTAGCCAATTTCAACATGGTTAAAGACCATCAATGAAAATTGTCTTCATTTTTTATGGATTCCGCTCTACTTATTAAATAAGTGAGATGTATCCATATTAAAAGTTATTAATCTAAATTAACAAAATCATAATAGTAATTTACTTTAACATGAGAGCACCTTCCATCCATGAACATACTCAATCAAACCCAGTCTGCAACATTTTCAACGTTTTAAACTTTTTTTAGGAGTTGTTATTTTCTCTATTGTACGTAGGTTTACATACATCTATCTAATTATCGAATAAAAGAGACATGTCAGTATGTAAAAGCTATACAAAATCTTCATTAAAGATCCATCACGATCTAGTTTCGATAAAAATCCATACATTGATATTTATATATATCAAACAGCAACAAATAGCAAAAAAAAAAAAAGGTTTAAAGAAAGCCCTGCAACAATGAGAGATCTGACATATAAGGTGAAATTCATTTATGAATGAAGGTCAAATTTTGTCTGGTCTACTTGAAGGGTCTTAGACAAAACACCAAGCACTTTAAATGTTATGATCAAGGTTACAGTTTGCGGACGGCAACGGGAACACCGAAAACCTCTATTTCCTTTTTTTTTTCATAAACAGTCGAGCTTGAAATAAATATTAATGAGTTTAAATTCGCGCTTGGGTAAATATTCAGATACACACCCATAACTATATACAAAATAACGCAGGTAGGTAGGATGTGCCTTTATAGGATATCACAACCTTATACATATATGATATTACAACCTTATACAATATATAATAATATGGGAATAATGGATATACTACGGTGGCATAGAGGCGACATTTGCAGCATCTTTTGTATAACGTCAGTACGAGTTACGAGTATTATCTTGTGGCCACGACGTTTTATTTTGAGGTCTCATGAAATATCATCTTGTGGCCACATATTATTATCTTGTGGCCACGACTTATAATCTCGTGACCACTAGTTGTAATATATCTTTAAACAGAAATCAGTATTACAAAACGAAATGATAATAATTGTAATTAATTGCATTAATCATCTCATATACGTGTCAAAGAAACAGAGGAAGATATTGAAGATCACAGACTTACCTAAGTATTAATTTTGAAAAAAAAAACTCTCTTAAAAAACACCATCTGTGGTAAAATAACTGCGCACGTTAAAGATTAAGTTTTGATTTAATGCTTTATGGCGTATTTAGAGCCGCATGGCCGACATGGTTTACATCCATGTGGTCCTTTCACTCACTTAAAGCTGCATGCCTCCAGATGAACCAAAATATTTCAAGAAAATCAAACTTGCCAATAAGGTACTGAGATTTAAAGAAAAGTAAAAAGGTTAAAATAAAAGTAATAACTTCTATGTTGTGTGCGATGTATGTCCGAATTTGCTGTATTTTTATCATATTTCTGCTGAGTTACTAACGGAGTAAGGTATATTTATGCATATTTTGGCCTCTTTTTGGTAATTTATATGGGTTGTAAAGCTTTTTGCAATATTAACTTTATTTTCTTTGTTGTTTTTGTTATAATATTTTATTTTTTAATACATTTTCATTTTTTATGAAAATTAGCATGCATCTTGAGGCGAACTGCTTTAAATTATGTATACATGTACATATATTTATTTAAGATATCAGATCTCATTTAATTGACCATGCCTTAAAAGTCATCTCAATTATAAAATACGATACAATATACAATATTCTTTTATTTCGTCAAGGTTACATGTGTAACCACAGATATTGCAATAATCATGTAAATAAGTACATGTATGTAAAAATTTACATTCTTTACTTTAAGTATAGGCTTAGGATATTCAAGCGAAAATAAATGTTACAGTTTTATAGCTTATAATACTCAATTAGCATTAATCTGGGGGCGTACTGCTTTAAATTATATATACCTATTTATTTGACCATGCTTTAAAGTCATCTTAATTATAAAATACAATACAATTTACAATATTCTTTTATTTCGCCAAGGTTACATTTGTAACAACAGATATTGCATTAATCATGCAAATAAGTACATGAATTGTGGGTGACAAAAATAGAAAAGTTTTACATATTTAACTTTAAGTTTAAGCTAAGGATAATCAAGCGAATATAAATATTGCAATTCTATTTTTTACCTTAATATAAGATTGATTATGGGGAGAGCGAAATTTGACTGTCTTATTTCTATTCGAGTTCATGTGAAAGATGTTGAATGCGTTCATCCATTAGTACGTGTTACTATGGATTGTCGTTGACTGTTCATGAAAGTCTGCTTTAAATACTATCTCAAAGGTTAAACTAACGTGCTTTTTCATGATATAAGCTATAAATAACCTAGGATAATTTTCGGATTTCGCTCTTAATTATTAAGAGAATATTCTTTTCTCGTTCGAGTGAAGTATGGAATACAAATTCACGAAACATAATAAAATTCCATATATTTTCACGAGTTGGAACGGCGAGTGAAATATGTAGAATTAAATCATGTAAAGTGCAAACATATCCATATTTCACAAAAAAACTAATATACTTTATCTTTATCTTACTTTAGATGAGGTCAGACACAATGGTACGTTTGCAATATTCAAAAACAGAATCAAATATTATCTTAGAAGAATTCACATATGTCTTCAAAATATGTATCAGTCAGCTTTGATATATATTAGAATGAGGCGGAGATATAAAAAAAAACCCGACAAGTTAGTCATGATTTATCATTGTGACATCGTTACATATCTTCAATAATGACTATTTAGATACAAGTCTCTAACGGGATTCAAATCCACATGTAGGGAAAGGGGGCAAGTGATTTGAATCAGAAATACAGTATACAAAAACAGCTTATATTTCTAAATAATTAAATACTTTAAAGAAACATGAAAGGACCTGACCAAACAAAAAAGGCGAAAGAGGTACAATTATAATTATAAAACGTTCCCCGTGTTAACCGCCGCAGTTTTGACCCTCTGCTAAGAACTGCAAAATCTATGGCAAGTGTGATATTAACTTCAGTTAATGATGAAACGACAATTTTTATAGGCCAAAATAAGTCGTGGCTTCAATATAATAAGTCGTGGTTACAAGATAATAACTCGTGGCAACGAGATCATATATTGAGGCTTTATAGCAATAGTCGTCGCCATAATAATTTTGGCCACATGATAAAAGGTCGTCGCCATAATTATTGTGACAACAAGATAATAATTCGTGGCCACGAGATATTATCGTGAGGCCTAAAGATAATAAGTGGTGGCTTCAAGATAATAAGTCGTGGTCACAAGATGATAAGTCGAGGCAACGAGATCATATATTGAGGCTTCAAGATAATAAGTCGTCGCCATAATAATCGTGGCCAGAAGATAATAATTCGTGGCCATGAGATATTATCGTGAGACCTGAAGATAATAAGTTGTGGCCATAAGAATATAAGTCGCGACCACAATAAAATAATCCGTTGCAACGTATTAATGTTTTGAGGCCTGATGATAATACGTTGTGACCGCAGGATAATAAGTAGTAGCCACAAGATAATAAATATCCTGAAAAAGTCAACCCTCGGAAGTATTAAAAACAGCAAAATTACATGAAAAATGCAGACAGCGGGATAAGGAAAAAGTGCAACATCCTTTACGTGGCCACAAGATAATACATTGAGGCCACAAGATAATGAGTCGTGGTCACGAGATAAAGTACCTCAAGATGATAAGTCGTCGCCCCTCTAAGCCACCGTACATGTTTTTCATTTCTTGAAATATGATTATTTCAGGGAATGACATTTATTCTTAAAATTGTTCAGGCTATTTACTTTCGTGTCTTTATATTTTTATAAATAGCATTAATTCAAACCAAACCTATGTAAACACTTGAAGTTATCGATTTTGAAGCAAGTGAATTGGAACGGGACGATTTTGTCATTGACAACCATAGAAGGGTGAACTTTTCCACATAATTTAGCTTAAATTGGAGATGATTATTAAACATAAAAAGAAAAAAGAGGAATAAATTTGAAAACTTGAGAACTGTGATAACGTTTTGCTGTAAATTAACATGATTTAAATGACTGTGCCACGAAATTGGGACAACTTTATCAGTTAATAGATCAGTTCAGATTACACATTAAACAAATTTTCTACAAAATGGCTACTGGTAGTCAAATAGATACAGATATTCTTTCAGATGAAATATTTGATGTATTATGTTCAATGTGTAAAAATAAAGGAAAAAATACTGAAGGCGAAAAATTCTGTGTAGATTGTCACGATTACTTTTGTAGAAGTTGTGTTCAAGTTCACAATGAAGTACCTGTATTAGTTGGTCACAAAGTGTTGGATAAATCCCAAGTTAAATCAGGAACCAGCAAAGGTTTGCCGAGGGCACCAACAGAGAGATGTGACAGACACAGTCATAAACACATTGATATGTACTGTCAGAAACATGATAATGTTGGCTGTTCTACATGTATGGCAGTTGATCATAGGTAAAATTTACTCTATAAACTTAGATTATTTTCTCAATTAACATATGAACTATATTAGGTACTAAAAAGTCTTAACATGATATTATATCTTAAGTACTGATTTGACATACAAATTAACATATCATCTCGTCAGTCGTCTCATAGCCGCATAGACAAAAACTGTCTGAAATATTTTTTCAGATTATGCAAGGATACATTCTACATACCAGAATTTATCCAAAACAATACTTACCAAGTTACATCCACAGGAATACAAACAAAACTCAAAAACATAGCCAAGACCCTTGCTAAACAAGCTGATAGATTTAAACAGGATAAACAAAGGCTGCTAAAGAGGAAAGCAGAAATACTGGCTGCTATCAGAAAATTCCGTCAAGAAATCAATGACCATCTTGACAAGCTGGAGAAAAGTTCTATAGATGAGATAGATGATAAGGTAAAAAAACTTGAAGACAAGATAGAAGATGGTCTCAAACAGCTACAAGCAAATAAGTCCAGGATTACATCAGCTAATGATAAATTAGCATCTTAAAGCACAAATCAAGCTGAAGTGTTTGTTTATGTTAAGATGGCAGAGGATGCTGCAAATGTTGCCAACAAATATATGGAGCATGCCAAAATGAAAAGTACAGTAGAAGACATAGAATTTCAACGTGATAGAACAATTGTTACACAGTTAGAAGAAAAGAAAACCCTGGACACATTAACAGAGAAGCTTACAAAGTCTCCTGTTAATTTATTTCAGATTAAAGGAAATCAATCATATAATGTAAAAGTTAATTCTGATAATATCGATTGTAATATCACCAGTGCCTGCTGTATGGAAGATGGTACAATAATTTTAGCTGATTACAACAACAACAAGCTTAAACGGTTACACAGTTATAGCCGTACTGTCAGAGACTACTACCATATACCTGAAGATCCATGGACAGTGTGTATGATCAATAACACAAAAGTAGCAGTACTTATTCATTCAAAATGGCAAGTTCTTCTCATTTCTCTAGAAGGCAAAATGAAAACAACAAACAAGTTTAAAACTGATTTTAAAAGTAATCGTCTTGCATATGCAAACAATAATTTATATATTTCAGAAATGGACACAGCATCAGTATATATGTATACTTTGTCTGGTAGGAAGCTTAAACAGTTCGGACATAAGCTGCTCTCTTCCTTACACAGTCTAGCTGTCAGTAAGGATGCTACAAGGATTTATGTTGCTGACTATAATAATGGACTTATAGTACTAGATAACAATAGCCAGGTTATTACAGCATTTAATGATGGACAATTAAAGGGGGCTAACTGTTGCTATCTCACTGAAGCAGGTAGTGTGCTGGTATCTGGAGTAGTCTCCAATAATGTTTTACAGTTTACACCTGATGGTGATTTGATAGGAGAAGTTATTAAAGCTGATGGTAGAAAAGAGAAAATTAATTCAGTCTGTTGTAATCAACAAATGACAAAGATGTGTATAAGCAGATGGCAAGAGGACAACATTGAAGTGTATGATATCTTACCTGTAAAGTAAATGAATGCAAAAAAACTTCCAATAAAAGTAAAATAATATAAACATACTGTGATTCATATGTGAACATTACAAGAAAAACTCAGAACTTAATAACTTCATGAAAAGTATATACATGTGCAATATGTAATGATACTAGTTTAATTGATTGTGAATATACATGAATTATGCTGTGAAAAATAATTTGGTTTATCAAGTACATTATATTGTTGCATTATGATTTCATATAAAATTGATTCATATTTTTATTGTATGTTGTGTAAATGAGATTGTGTTAATGAGTGAAATAAATGTAGAATTTAAACGTCTGAATTTCCTATCTAAATATAAATTAATTATTATTTTTTGCATGACAAAAACAGTCACTTTATAACTTGATTATAACAAGTATATGTATGTTTTATATGTAATGATACTGGCTGGTTTAAATTGTGAATATACATGAATAATGTTGTAAAAATGATCTGATTTTTCATGTACATTATATTGTTGCATTATGATTAATTACAAAATTCAAAGCCTCGTTACCGCCCAATGGGCGGGATATTCCAGTCCGGATATTCCGGTCCACAACATATGACAGATATTATTAATATAACCTATGCAACAATATACATGTATTACAAATATATTACAAGAGGGCCATGATGGCCCTGAGTCGCTCACCAGAAACAACGGCTTTACAGTGTTGGAAATAATTTTTCAAAAGCACTTGCTGAAAGGCAAATCCAGCTCTTTCGGCTTTAACTTGCCCCTTTTGTAAAATACTTTCACAACAATGATTGTTTTAGCTTTTTTTCCCTAAAAAACAGGGCCACTAAGATGGCCCTAGATCACTCATTATTCACAATATAAATTGAAATATTTTGCCGTAATATTTTGGAAAAGCTTTGTTAAAAATATGTATGTTGCAAGTGTGTTCCTATGAGACTATGTAGAATAAATGCAGAATAAATGACCACTAGAGCAGGATTAATTTTGACTGGACAATTTTTTTTTATAACTTTTTTGAATGAAAACGCAAAATGTCACATGCAAAACATGTAAGGTGTAGATGTTTGAAGTTTACAATTTGGGACAACAAATTTTATGGTAACTTAACTGTACCTCAAAAAAAGACAATAGGTCAAACATTGTAAGAAATATGAAAAGTAGGCCAGTTGATACCAACATGCAATTCAGCATGAGACATTACACCCCTAGTCCAAATTTCAAGACTGTATGTCAAAAAACAAAAGAATGAAGGTCAAATTATATCAAAAATATCAAAAGTAGGTCAGTTGATATCAAAATTCATTTCGGCATCAGAATTTACAAACCTGGTCCAAATTTAAAAACTGAATGTCAAAATACAAGAAAGTAGGTCAAATGGTGTCAATAATACCTATAGTAGGTCAGCTGGTATCAAAATTGAATTCAAAATCAAAAATTACACAAATTACACAAAATTTCAAGTCTGTACATATAAGACAAAAGAAGTATGTAAAGCGATTTCAAATATATCAAAATAGGCCAGTTCTTATCAAAATTAAATTCAGAATCAGAAATTAAACCCCTTGTCCAAATTTCCAAAACAACACACTAGGTCAAACAATATCAAATAATAATAATATCAAAAGTAGTCAGTTTATATCGTAATTCATTTCGCATCAGAAATTACATTCCTGGTCCAAATTTCAAGTCTCTGTACATCATTCCAAATTTCAAGTCTCTGTTCATCAAAAACAAGAAAGTATGTGCAATGGTTTCAAAAATATCAAAAACAGTTCCACTGATACCAAAATTCAAATATGCACATGAAACCAAGGTTCAACAGTCTGTCCCAAAATTTGTTGAAATGTGCTTTTTCCAAGTTTAAATCCTATTCAACAAAAAAAATGAAAAATACAATTTTTTAACAAAATTCAATAACAAAATTGAGCATTTTAAGTCAGGTACAGGAGAAACAAATTTAATGTTTCTTTAGGCCTATTTTTTTCCTGGTTAATGACGTACAACTGACCTTACAATGATGCAATATGATGTCCGATTTCTAGTGATGAAAGATATTTACACATCATAAACAGGTCATGACATTAAGAGTTTTTTTAATGACACTTATAATCATTACATTTATACTGTGACCTCCTATAGTGTGAAGAGTTTAAAACATAACATATCTACTTTGTGTGAAGTCAAAACAGGTTTATTTTATATTTATAAAAAGACTGTGTATCCATTGTCAATATTTTCTAATATTAAATTTAAGCATAGAATATCTTTAAACTATAATTTGAAGAAATGCCATGACCTGGGGAATTAAAGCTTCAGCTTAAACAGGGTCAATCAAATTAACATGAGCAAACTTGATAAAAGACTACCTAAGAATGCTATGTACAGACAAAGTTTAGTGATCATCCATCAAATATTTCAATAGGAGATGATGTTCAAAGGCTTTTCTATATTAAGCTTTAGAGGCCCCATAAAGGGGCTAATCAAATTAACATGAGCAAACTTGATAAAAGACTACCTAAGAATGCTACAGACAAGTATGGTGATCATCCATCAAATATTTCAATAGGAGATGATGTTCAAAGGTTTTTCTATATTTAGCTTTAGAGGCCCAATAAAGGGGCCAATCAAATTAATATAAAAGACTACCTAAGAATACTACTGACACAATTCTAAGAGTGGGCCGTTGATGAATAAAAGACCGAGTACACAAATTTTATATAACATTTATTAAATATCAAAATTGGACCGAAAGAAGGCTACCTTATCATTTAGGCATTTTATCAAAATTCAAAATTGACCGTGGCAACCAATGTCTGTGGCACCATTAAACTGCTAGTGCTTTGTGACGGCCATGCCAACAAAACTTCACTGACTGAAAATAAATTTCTAAATAAATTTAATTAAAACAATATAATGCGTCTGTGGCTTTCCATACTTCAACAAAACAAAATTCAAAATTGGACCGATATAGGAAGAATTTATCTTTCGGAAATCATTTCATATTTTATAAATTACTAAATTGTCTGTGGCTAACCGGCAGTCGGATCGATATGCAAGTGATGGTAACATATGAGGCGGTTATCTCGATATGTCTGAGACATCTGGAAGAACTACATGACGGGATGAAGAAGACCACTCTGAGGGGATGAGAAGTCCATGACCAAGCCCCGAAAATGTCGCACTGTCAAAGTAGGCATTAAGGGGAGAGGTCAAAGAAGACATCTTCGAAGACCGAAAACGTGGAAGAGTTCTTCTAGACCCACCAGATGAGGGAAGCAGTCCATGGTCCATGGCGGAGCTGAAAAACTGGAAGGAGTGAACTTGTCTGTCCGTTTTGCTTGTCTGTGGCACCGAACCAAAAAACACCGGTCCGAAAGCACCATTGCTTGTCCGTGCGTCTATATGTCAGGAAAACCTTACCCGTCCGCTTCTTGATCCTTTATTTTAGGCAGCAACACATTCTTTTACTTAACAACATAATGCACACAATGGTCTCATTGGCCTCCCGTGTATTATTTCATAAATAAATCTAAAAACAATAGCATTTTCTTTGGGGTCATTCAGTGAATTACTGAATTCGAATCAAATAGGTCACCATTTTAGAACTATAACATACTTTAAGGGCATGACTGGTGACATGTCCGGGGTCCGTACTCGACAGCGAAAGCTGCTTTTTGTGCCCGGAAGGGCGAATGGACCCTCATTAAGCATTAACATACATACATACTACTGACACAATTTGGTGATCATCCATCCATTACTTCTGTAGAAGGAGACTTTAATAGGTATTTCTATTTTTAACTTTAGCTGCCCCTAAAAAGGGCCAATCATATTAAAAAATGTGAGCAAACTTGATAAAAGACTACCTATAAGTGCTACAGACAAAGTTTGGTGATTTCAGTAGGAAATGATGTTCAAAAGTTTTACTATTTTTAGCTTTGGAGGCCCGTAAAAGGGGCCAATCAAATTAATATGATCAAAACATGATAAAAGACTACCGAAGAATTCTACAAACGAAGTTTGGTGATCATCCATCGATAAGTTCTGTAGAAGGAGATGTTTAAAGGTTTTCCTATTTTAAGCTTTAGCGGGCCCTAAAAGGGGCCAATCAAATTAATATCAGCAAACTTGATAAAAGACTACCTAAGAATGCTACAGACAAAGTTTGGTGATCATCCATCGATAAGTTCTGTAGAAGGAGATGTCTAAAGGTTTTCCTATTTTTAGCTTTAGCGGCCCCTAAAAGGGGCCAATCAAATTAATATCAGCAAACTTGATAAAAGACTATCTAAAAATGCTTCAGACAAAGTTTGGTGATCATCCATCAAATAGTGCTGTAGAAGAAGACATTTAAAGGTATTTCTATATTTTTAGCTTTAGAGATCCCTAAAAGGGGCCAATGAAATTAATATGAGCAAACTTGATAAAAGACTACCAATGAATGCTACAGACAAAGTTTGGTGATCATCAATCAATTAGTTCTATAGAAACAGACGTTTAAAGGTATTTGAAATTTCTATTTTTAGCTATAGCGGCCCCTAAAAGGGGCCAATCAAATTAATATGAGCAAACTTGATAAAAGACTACCCAAGAATGCTACAGACAAAGTTTGGTGATCATCCATCTATTAGTTGTGTAGAAGAAGATGTCTAAAGGTTCTTCTATTTTTAGCCATAGAGACCCCTTAAAGGGGCCAATCAAATTAATATGAGCAAACTTGATAAAAGACTACCAAAAAATGCTACAGACAAAGTTTGGTGATCATCCATCAATTAGTTCTATAGAAACAGACGTTTAAAGGTATTTCTATTTTTAGCTATAGCGGCCCCTAAAAGGGGCCAATCATATTTATATGAGCAAACTTGATAAAAGACTACCCAAGAATGCTACAGACAAAGTTTGGTGATCATCCATCTATTAGTTCTGTAGAAAAAGATGTCTAAAGGTTTTTCTATGTTTAGCCCTAGAGACCCCTAAAAAGGTCCATTTGAAATGACATGAGCAAACTTAAGTGTGACTGTCACAAGGATGCTACAAACCAAATTTTAGGTAAATCTGCCCAGTAGTTTCAGAGAAGAAGACGATTGTTGACGCATGATGACGGACGCAGGAGTATCCCCCTTTGATACTAATAGCTCACCCCGAGCCTTCGGCTCTGGTGAGCTAAAAAGACATGAATGCTTTTTACTGGACAAGAACAAATCTTTTAGTAGTCCTGACATAAAAGTATAAACCCATGATATTTAAAAACTGATAAAGGTATATTTACAAGAGGTTCTTAAAAAGAACATAAAATTATCAAAGTTCTGCAAGCAAGACACAAGTCCACTACCGCTTTTGTCTTCTCTTTTTCGAAATACAGATAATTTGAAGGTTGAAGGCCGATGAAATTTTTCTGTATTTCATTTGTCGAGGATGGATGGTTGAATTAGATAAACACTGTTTTAACCTTAGTATAAGTGAACCTTCACCATTTTGGGTTCGATTCTCGCAAGGAAAATGTATTCTGTCTTGTAGAAAAACTAGCTTACGGAACTCCACCAGTAAAGCTGGACAGTTGTTTACAATTTACATTTTTTTAACTTCTAGCAACATGAAAGGGAAAACCTGACTAAGTTACCCCAGTTTGAAAAAAAGGCCACCTGCAATTTGGTAACGATTGAAATAAAACTTCACCAAAAGATATATGGTATTTCTATCGTTTATAAAACTCATAACAGAGAACCATCTAAGGACACTAAAGTTTTTGTTGATGATCCGTTCATTGATTCCAACAAGATGGTTTAACCCTTAACCTGCTGAATTTCTTAAATGAACTCGTCCAGCTTTCTTTTACTTTTCCATTATCAACTTTGGGGATATCAAGATAAAAATTATTAGTTAGTAAGCCAATAGTATAGGGCCTGGTCAATCTGCATGTTTGTACAGGCTGGCCTGGCCATTGGCCAATGACTTCCATGAAGAGAGACCGAGTTTGCTGATGTTTTAATTTTAGTTCCAGCAGTCTTTTGAATAAACAAACAAACACTTTTTTGATAACCTTAGATAGAATACATGTACCATCAAATAATTATAGAGACAGAGCCAAGTGAAGATTCATCCATAGGTTTAGGAGATGTTTGAATCTAGTTTAGGTTAGACAGTTATAATATAACCATACAGAGCAAGTCCATTTGAGAGACAAGATTTTTAACTCTAGCTGAGAGTTGTCGTTTTTAGAGGTTAAAATATATTGTTATTGTTGTTGAAAAAAGGTTATTGCTCAAAAGATGTTATTGCTAACACTGGTTAAATTGTATGAACCAATATATTACAGTCGGAACAGTCTTATGTTATTGTTGTTGTAAAGAAGTTATTGGTCTACAGAGGTGACAGTGTTACAGAGGTTTCACTGATTACAGTCATATGAATCAACAACAATGCCATTCCATATTTTTGAAAACTTTTATATCATAAACATGTAACTGGATTTCTGAACAACAATTTTACCATAAATTTAATAACTAAAATATAATATTAACTAAACAATATATACACATTTGATACCTTCAAAATAAATTTAAATGACATAGTCAAAACTGTAAAAGAAGCTAAAATAAAATTTAAGTTCTATGCGTTTTAATTGATTATATAACTTTCTCTAGAGAAAGAGGACCTATCCCCTATGAAGTTTTATGCTGATGCCACCAAGTCTTGATTTTTGCTCTTGTGAAATATCTGGAAATGACCTACATTTAAGAAAACAAATTGTAGACAAGTGGGATTTTTTCAAAGAGAATTACAAGAGACATTTCCAAGCTGGTGCAATGGTCGCCTTTTCCTTGATTCTAGAGTCAAACACAACACAGGAAGAATATTGAAGTATAAAATAATCATAGAAAACATACTTTCTTTTAAACAAAATAAAATATAAATTTAACATTTGACCTTGATGGTTAAGGTCAGTCAAAGATCAAGGTTACATTTGATTCATCATTTTTAGTTTTGACATAAGCATTCTTTTGTCTAAGTATGAATCAAAACTATGTTATGACAATTAAAGCTAATTTCAATAATCTGACCTAGAGGGATAAAGTTCAATTAAAGGTCAAGGTCATGGCAGAATAATTCAACATGTCAGTTTCGTCATACATGTTCTTCATAAAAATCAATTATGTGAGCAAATAACAAAATTATGACAATTTAAGCAAACTTCAATAAGTTGACATTGACAGTCAAGGTCAATTAAAGGTCAAGCTCATATGAGAATAATTCAACATGTCAGTTTCCAGATATGTGTTATTTTGGCCAAGTATAAATTAAGTCAGCAAATAAATAGCAAAGTTATGACAATTTAAACAAATTTAAACAGCTTGACCTTGACAATCTAACAAATATCAAATCAAAATTTTATCTATATGTTCAATGCCAGCTTTGTTATAAGTGTTCTTTTGTCTAAGTATATATCAAATACGTGGAAATAATCGAGTTGTGGCCAATTGTATCAAACTTTTCTTATTTGACCTTTAGTGTTATGGTCAAATTAAGGTCAAGGTCAACTTAAACTTCGTAACATGGATTAGTGTGCCCAAATATGAAGACAATTCTTTACTTGCAAAGTCACAGTCAAATATAACACAAAAAAGTGAACTTGCAATAATTTGACATTCAAGGTTAGTCATTTATAAGTCAAGGTTATATTCAGTTTTATCTTCTTTACGATATTGTCTTAACAGTATTTGTACTCAAGTATGAAGACAATCCATTCAAAAATACCAAAGCTATAGCGAATTATAGCAGAAACCAAACAAAATTCAATAATTTGAACTTCAAGGTCAAGTAATCTTGTGGGTGAAGGTCAAGTTCAGTTTGGTCAAGTTGAAAGTTGTGTTTAAATGGTTGTTTAGTCCAAGTAGGGTAGGCAACCCATTGATAAAAAAATGACCAAAAATAAAGTTTTAGATGGCAACGGCATCAGTAACGTCAACATCCTTATGACTGTATTAACACTGTAGCTCTTAGTTTCAAATTAAATGTCTAACAATATTAACTTACACTCTGATGTGAACAACATAATGAAGAACTTAATTCAGATTTAAACACACATTTTCATTTGTACAATAAAGAAGAAAAAAAACAAGGTGTATTAATTACAATAACTTATATACAGTATACTACGCACAAAGTACAATGCCATCAAATATAAAAATACACACTGTTTATTCTAATTGAACACAAATTGGAAACAGACCAATGAATGACTAGAATTTAGAGACTCGTTAATTTTGCCTACAAGATAAATAAATATCTGTCCCATTCACAGAACCTTGTATTTGACTACAATATTGGTATTTTAATTTATTTATTTGTTATCATAATTTTTATCTCAAATTCATTCATTTTCTTCAATAAAGGAGTATGTTTTATAAAATGTATTTCTACATCCAGAAACTGAAAAATAAGAACCTATCTTTTATAGTGCTTTAATGTAGGTCTCAGCTATGTCCTACATACAACATAAATAACCTGTAATCATAAATTTAAAGCTCTGCCAGTGAATGGGTTATAGTTTTTTTATAAATACATGATTTATTTTCATTGAGTGGTATGAAAATAAATATTTCCCAGAGTGGCGTTAGCCACAAGTGAAATTTGATAATTTTCATAACACAAGATGAAATTTAATCATGTATTTTAGGAAAACTTGAATATTTATTTGTTATATACATGTACTTTCTTTCCAGTTTGAACTTACAATTCTTAAGACTTCTCCTTTTCTTTTGTAAATTGGCTGAATTAAGGCAAGACACCAGTGAAAATGCGGAAAATATGTTTCACTGCAGTGAAAAATAAATTTTTGCAATGAAAATACGAATATTGAAAATGCACATTTTCTTTCATCAATATATCTCAATATCATAAAAGAATGAGAAAAAAATCAGTAACTCAAATATTTACAGGAATTCAACTTTTCTTCTGTTAGAAACAAATTCACCACAATATCTTACAATGTCTAACAATATAATAATATAAAAAATGTATATTTTAAATCCCTTTTCACTGAAATAGAGCAGTGTAACATCTATGGTATTATTTCTATCTTTAAAGTGCTAAGCAGTCAAATAATCTGCTACACAAAACATGGCAGTAACCTAACAGTAATTTTTAATAAAGAAGTTTGGCCAACAAAGATTAGTTTACAAGTTAGTTTTGCCATATGTTTGGCCAAAAAAAGATTGGTTCCTAAAATACACCAAAGCAAAAGACAAGTAGTATATACAGGCTAAAAATGATGAGTTTATAAGTTTAGTGAGAATTGGTTAAGTCTGCCACTCCAAAAAATACATGTTTTCTGCTTGGCAAAAGATATTGGATATAAAACAATATGTTGGTCCAAAACCTGTTGGTTCATACTTTAAATTGAACTATATAGATATCAGATCCCTTTGATGGTGATAGTACATAGTGTAACCTTATAAAGTTTACCGAGGTACATGTATAAGCCAGCTATTTTTGGCCTAACTAAAAACCACTTTACCGGATACAAAGGTTCATTCTAATATCTTAAATACCATTTCACCACTTACAGGTGAAACAACCACTTTACAGTTAACATAACCACTTAAATGGTGATACAAACAATTTGGAAGGTGATATAAACATGGTGAGGTAATACAACAACTTAAAATACAAACCACTGAATGGTAATACAGTCACTTTAGTTTTTATAACATATTTGAATATGTAACTGAAATTAGTTCAAAAGCTTTAAAAACTAATTTGTTTAAGCTTACATACAGGTGAATCAACCATTTTTAAGGTAATATAATCACTTTACTGTTGTTTCAACCATGATTATATTAAAGATTATATAACCATATAACTACAGTGATATAAGAACTAGAATGCTAGGAGGTAATCGTCATCTATAAAATCTGGATCAGCAGGTGCTTGAAAATCAAGCATGCCACCTGAAAAATTCTGCTGACTCATGCCAAATTTGTCCTGATAAATATTCATAGATTGATCTGTGTCTATAGAAGCTTCAGATTTTGCTGATCTTCCAGGAGCAGAAGATTTATTTATAGTATCAGCATTAAAATCTTTTGTATTACAAGTAGACTGTGTCAATGAATTGCAGTTACGAGGCTTTTTTTCTGGACTGGTTTGGTAATCTTGTTTTAACTCTGGCACTGAATTTGACTGGTTTCTTTCATTATGTCTTTCAGATATATAATCATCTGAACAGTGTTGAGATGCAATTTTATGTGGCTTTAATTCTGACACTCTCACATATGGTGGTTTGTAAGATTTCAATGTTTTCAATGTAGTGTTTACTGAAGGTTTCTCAAGTTTTTGTCTTTTAGGACCATTCCCAACAAGGAGCTGATCACAGTCCTTTGTTTTTAGATCAGTTACAACAGGAAGTGGATCTGAGGTGAAATTCTTATAACCAGTCTCAACTAACTGAGACACAGACTGGTCTTGTTTTATAATTTTTCCTTCATCATCTATGTCAGTTTCATTGTCCTCAAAAATATCTCTTGGACTAAGTGTGTACGACTCATCGTCAAGGTCATCAAAATAATTATTTATCTCACTTGAAACATTTTTTGTGTGTTTCTTCATGTTATTTGCAGATGGACACCATTTTGATGATGTACACTTTGGCATTTTATTATGCGACTTTGAGATTTCTGCTTTGTAATGACTGTTAAAATCGGCTTTTGTGCTTTCCTCAAGTTTACCTTTGTTTACTTCTTCCTTGTTCTCAATATCTTCTATAAGTTTCTCATACTGTGAATAAACAAAGTTACAATATACTAGTAACATAGCATTCTTGGTTGTTTGTTTATTTTACACAGATTTTAACACATGTTTGGCCATATCTCTGCAGTCTGTCTACCTAACCAACTTACCTGGATAACTAATCAGCTTTCCTAGATAGTTAACTAGCTTATCTGGATAACTAACCAGCTTTCCTGGATAGCTAACTAGCTTATCTGGATAACTAACCAGCTTACCTGGATAGCTAACTAGCTTATCTGGATAACTAACCCGCTTACCTGGATAACTAACCAGCTTATCTGGATAACTAACCCGCTTACCTGGATAACTAACTAGCTTATCTGGATAACTAACCCGCTTACCTGGATAACTAACTAGCTTATCTGGATAACTAACCTTCTTACCTGGATAACTAACTAGCTTATCTGTTTGTGTGTTTGTTTCATTTTACGCCTTTTTCAACAGTATTTCAGTCATATAGGCGGGTAGTTTCCTAACCATCGTTCCAACTAGCTTATCTGGATAACTAACCAGCTTACCTGGATAACTAACCAGTTTTCCTGGATAACTAACCAGTAATTTCCAATTTTTACACATGTGGTCAAGTATTCATCCCCAGGCCTCGACATTAGCGGTGGTCCGTTGGTCCGAGACCACTTGATTTTGGCAAGGACCACCTTATTTTAAAACCACTGGTCCGTCGGACCACTTGAATTTTCTAGTTGACGCAAGGCTCATTTGGGAGAATGGCGATTTGGTCAAAACATGTTACATAATTTTGTTTAAAATCATGTGTCCGATGTACATGTATATGGTTCAGTAATCTCTGATTAGTTAAAGAAGTTCTTAAGTCATCAATAACTTTCATTTGAAGTCGCTAAAATGTTGTTTATGCAAGTTAAAAGAGTTAAGAATTTGTGATGTTAATTTAGGTACAAAATTCATTCAAATGGTGCTAGTAAATTATGCATCGTCTGATACCCACGGCGGAACCATTAACATTTATGTTATGTTACATGTTAATCAACCGTAAGTATCCGATGATGGTAATTATATGATATCGGATAAACTTGAATTAACGGCAGCAAACGAAAGGAACTGGAAAAATACATCTAGAAATTCTCTGCTAGTTATCTTTATTTTAACTGTATAACAATAAGAGATCTATTTCTCCTAGAGTTAAAAATACTTTAAAAGGTTAAAAATACTCAATGTCAAAAATGAATATCAACCAACAAGCAACAGCTAGGGAAGTAAAACTTCTGCATTATAAATCTGTGAGAAAAATTAGCTAAACTATAGTTATCTATAACGTTGTTATTATTTTAATAATTTAGATATTTCCTTGTTTTCAAAGACAAGAATAATATAGTTTATAAGTTTCATTAAAGATGTTTATCTATAAAAGATTCTATGTTATTATCATGATTAATCAGCAATGAATATTTGAATAACAGTAAGAAAATAACAGACACAAATGTTTTCACTATTCCCTAACTTGAGTTGAGGGAGAAACCACTTCAATATAAAAGTTAACATAAATAAGAGCTCTGTTGTGTATTTTTGAATGAGATAAAAAAACAAACAAACAAATAACTCTACGATAGAATACCTACTGATTTGCTCCCCCTTTTCTGATTAGATGAAAAATATATATCTAAAAATATATGTTTTCTTTAAAGGTTAATAATACATCTTTGTCATCAAGTTTAAACATTTTTTTCTCATTTGCAGTAAAATGATATAATAACGATAATTGACCACCTGACTTCTGGAAGGACCACCTCACTTTCAAATCTAGTGGTCCGGCGTACCACCTACTAAAAAAGTTAGTGTCGAGGCCTGATCCCACATGATTTTTGAATCATAAGTGAGAAACAAAATTAATGACCTTTAGACTCAACCTTTGAGATAAATTGTCATGGAAAAAGTTTGAGTTGTCTTTGATTTAAACAAGCAACTCCTGGATTACAAATCAAATGCTCTTGCTATTGAGTTGAGCGGGTGGATTTAAAACAATATCAGTCATTGCATCCAATTTGAGCACAGTCATATGAACAGTATAGTGGGAGATAAAACAAATGCTACAATCAATATTCTTTTCAATAAAGATCTATAGATGAACATTCCTTATCATATATTCATTAGTTAAGACTAGTAATTAATGCTCGATGCTCGATATAAATGCTCATTACCTCAAGTTGTTTATTCTTTCTGCCTTTTGGCCGTCCACGTGCTTTGCCTGAGGGGTGTTCATTGATCATCGTAATCTAAGGGAAAAGAGAAATGTAGAAAACTTATATCTTTAAATCAATTTTTACATTAGAAATCTGTTAATTATAAATACATATAAACACTATGATATACTAGTATAACAAAGAAAGACCAGGAAAGAATAATCTGTCTTAAAACAGCCACTTTAAAGAATTTAAATAGTTGCTGCCTACTAATTAACAGGGGTGTCAAAATCAATTGTCCCTATTGTCAAGGTTGTCCCACAGCATGTACAGACAATTGGAAATTTTCAATAATTAACTCTATAAATATCATACAGACAAGTTAAGAAATGATTCTGACAAAAACGGACAAGTAAGACAAAATCAGATTTTGCTAACCATGATTACTAGCCTTGTGTTAGTCTTACAACTACATGTATAACTATAACCTTGGTCTTACAACTACATGTATAAGTATAACATTGGTCTTACAACTACATGTATCAGTATAAGTTTGGTCTTACAACTACATGTACAAGTATAACCTTGGTCTTACAACTACATGTACAAGTATAACCTTGGTCTTACAACTACCTGTACAAGTATAACATTGGTCTTACAACTACATGTATAAGTATAACCTTGGTCTTACAACTACATGTATAAGAATAACCTTGCTCTTACAACTACATGTATAAGTATAACCCCATGTCAGATTTTTTTTTACTATTAGAGGATTTTCAGAAAAGGAAGACCCTAGGAATTCCTTAGCATAAGCTTGCACTTAAGCAGTAACACAAAAGGTATAAAACCTTAAGCAGTAACAGAAAAGGTATAAAATAAGAACTAAGTTAAAAAGTACAAACATGTACATCATTACCTGAGTACATGTATAAGGTGGATCTGTTGGTTCTTTTCTAGGTCTACCTCTCCCTTTCTTCTGAAAACAAGTTGAAACAAAAGTACAATAACAAGAGCAATCAGTGATCAGATGACTTGTGTCACCTGACGATAGCCAATTAAGCAGCTGTATTAATGTGTGATTGACCAGTTTGTTCCCTATATGTTGTGACTAGTTTTAAGCATGTTGCAGGTACTGTTAGGCAGGAGACACAAAAATCATTAACAGGCTAAAATGCCTTTTTTTATCTAAGTGCCATAACTCTGCTAAAAAATCTTTTTACCGTTAAACCAGTTAAATATAAGCAAGAACTTGAGGTACCAATCAATCCTGTAAAGTTTCATTCAAATTGCATAAGTGGTATAAATGAAGAAGTCATGAATAAACTGTTTATTACAATAGTTATTAAAGAGCTATAACTCTACAAAAATCATTGAACTGGAAAATGCCAACAATGTGCAAAACTAGACTTGGTACTAATCATTGTTTGAAATTGTTCAACATTAGATACATTAAAGTATTTGAACAAAGACGACAATAGCAACATAGCAAACATAATAGATTGACTTTTTCTATGGAACAGATGAGCTAAAATGGTGTTTTATTTTAATACATCATGTCATTTAAGGTTGCCTAAATTAACTCTAAACCATCTCATTCCAGACTTGCTGATATGCGATATATATCGTAATTATACAATGTAAAACCAAATGAATGTACATTCACACTTTACACCAAAGACTTCTACACCTGTTGGCTACACTTATTTGCACCATAAAAAGATGAACACTTACTATATGATGGTTTTCTAAAGGCCTATCCAATTTCTTTGTTGTTTTCTGTAAGATACAAATCATTAGTTGATAATGTAAAACAGAAGTATAAATTTTTATAAATCATAAATAAATCAAAACAGAAATGTTTAAACCACTTCAAGATATAAGACACCTCTTGTGGTTTTGACAAATGATCATTTAAACTCCATGTCCAAGATCAATTATTATCATGCAGAAATTTTGTAACTTAATAAATTAAGTTTACAGCAATAATATATAAAGTAAAGGATAATTTGACTCAAAAAAAAATTTGACTCACAGTATCTAAGCAAAACAGAACTCAAGACCACATTAAATAATTAAATCATGGTCTTGAGTCAATAAAACCAAACTCAGCCCTTGTCCAGAGATATGTTATGTCTTAGTGCAAAATCTGAAGCATTTAGAATGTCATGGCAAAGGTGTCAACAAACATACCAATCAATAAGTCAAAAGCAATATGCCCAACGATGTTTTGGCTGCCGAGGGGGGCATAAAAGAACTGCTTAACCCTCACCACCCTAAGTAACTTCAATGGACTTGTCCATTTTTCAATCTGGTCAGAACCATTCATCATATATAGGGAAAATATTAAAATGTGATATGACAAAATATAAAACAGTGTAGACCATGATCAGACAGCCCCAAGATGCCCACTGATCTTGGTCAGCACTGGCCACATGGGTAGATCCTTTACCCATCAACAAAATAAGGGTTATTTTTGTCACTTACTAGATAATCAGGCTTCGGTGGTCTTCCTCTTCTCTTCAAAGATAACTGAAAGGGAAAACAATATTTACTTTCATAAATACATGTATAAGGAATTTCATTCATGAGCCTAATTTTATATCACACTAACAAGATATTTTATAGTGCTAATATTTATATGTAGTCATTTATTTATAAGATTGCTTGATAAGACACAGTTTTCAATTAGTTAAAATTTAACATTATACCTTCGCAATTTCAAAGTCAACAGAGTATATTGAGTCCAACAGTTAATGAGTTTTTCAGATAATGAGTTCTTTAGATAATAAGTTCAACAGATAATGAGTTTTTCAGATAATGAGTTCTTTAGATAATAAGTTCAACAGATAATGAGTTTTTCAGATAATGAGTTCCCAACAGATAATGACTTTTTCAGATAATGAGTTCTTTAAATAATGAGTTCAATAGAAAATAAGTTTTTCAGATAAAGACCTCTTTAGATAATGAGTTCAACAAATAATGAGTTCAACAGATAATGAGTTCAACAGATAATAAGTTCAAAAAAATCTGTTTAACCTTGATTTTCCCTTCTATGACTAAATTTGTATAAAAGACTTTTATTGCTTTGAATTTGAACAGTTCATTACCAGTATCAGGGATTTCAACATTAAACTGCTTAAATTGACTAACAAACACTATGAAACTGAAAATATATGGAGGCTACCCTTGCTTTTTACTGGTGACATAAAAAAGTGATTTTACTTAAAGCAGCATGCCTTCAGATTCATACTAATTTTCATGAAAATTTTGAAAGTGTATTCAAAAGTAAAGTATTGTGAATAAAACAAAGAAAATATCTATACATTGCAAATGACTCAGATATGCTTTAAATTTCATTTCTCAAAAGTTCTTTTTATTCTTAGTGGCAAGTTATAGTTTTTAAAAAGTTTCTCATTGGTTATTTTTTGCTTTTGTTGCTTTTTAGCAATTAATTCAGTGATAGTGACTTAGTATTTTGTATGGAAGTGAAATACTACTTTGTCTACAATTTGCTTTTTTTAGGACATATAATTCCACATTAATTTGCACTCCTTTCCTTAACTGATAAGCATATACCATGCGTAAAACCATGATAGATCAAACTTTATAAATCTCATTTTTGCCCTATTTCAAGAAGGAAAAAAGAATTTTTTTTTCTTATGCATAATGTGCCTGTAAAGTATTTTTGGAAAAAACTATGAATAGAGTAAGTTAAATTTACAATGACAACATGTACAATACGAAATACAAACTATGATGTTTAGTGCAATAGACAAGCAGTGAATGCTTTTGGAAAAGTTAGAAAATTACAAAAGTCTTCAAATGCCAAAGGAAAAACTATGCAAATTGGCATGATATATGAATACTAAACAGCAAAGGGGAAGCAAACAGCACTAGTACAAAAACAATATGTAAATGTCAAACTCCAGAGGAATAAAATAAAATACAAAATTTTAAACAATACACAAAGAAACAAACCATTCATGTAGGCATGAAATGCAATTAATTATTTAACAGCATAGAGTAAACAATGAAAACAAATTTAGTAGCTAAATACACATATACAAATACACAAGAGTGCTTACAACCTTCACAAGTCAGCACAATACAAAAGTAACAAAACATAAGAGAATTTACAAACTTCCTAAGTCAGAATAATTAATACAATTCAAAAGTACCAAAACAAAAGAGAATTTACAAACTTCCTAAGTCAGCATAATTAATACAATACAAAAAGTACCAAAACAAAAGAGAATTTACAAACTTCCTTATTCAGCACAATTTACAAGTACCAAAACACAAGAGAGCATACAACCTTCCTAAGACAGCATAATACACAAGTACCAAAAATATGAGAGTTGAAAACATTTCTTAGTCAGCACAATACACAAGTACCAAAACACAAAAGAGTTTACAAACTTCCTTAGACAGCATAAAACACAAGAACCAAAACACAAAAGAGCATACAAACTTCCTAAGTGAGCACAATACAAAAGTACCAAAACATATCAGAGTTTACAAACTTCCTTAGTGAGCACAATACAAAAGTACCAAAACAAAAGAGAGTTTATAACCTTCCTAAGACAGCATAATACACAAATACCAAAACACAAGAGAACATACAAACTTCCTAAGTGAGCACAAAACACAAGTACCAAAAATATAAGAGTTTACCAACTTCATAAGTCAGGACAATACACAAGTACCAAAACACCAGTGAGCATAAAAAATTCAGAAATCAGCACAATACACAAGTACCAAAATGTTATAGAGCATAAAAAACTTCATAAGTGAGCACAATACTCAAGTACCAAAACAAATGAGAGCATAACAACTTCCCATGTCGAAACAATACACAAGTACCAAAACACAAAAAAATATGCAAACTTTACAAGTCTGAACATAACATAAGTACCAAAACAGATAAGGGAAAACAAATCAAACTTATTATCACAAAACACAAATAGTGATTGGAAACCATTATGAAAAACAGCAAAAAACATATTATTCCTTATCACCTTATTTATCTTAAATGTACTTGTCCATTTTACCAATCCAGACAAAGCCATTCATCATTTTTAGGGAAAATTAAAAAACAACAATTGATGAACAGCTGGCAGTCCTGTGATCATTCATGTCAAAAAACATTGAAATCCAATAATTCATGACAAACATGTGACAAAAACATAGATCCTGTAATTGTAAACTATCATCATATCTAGAAAGAAATTGAGTTTTATATCACCTTGACCTAGAAGCGTCCACCATGACCCTTGAACAAGATACAAATGTCCTAAAATCTTCTTAACTTTGTTGGCACTATTCCAATAAGCATCAATGACTGTAATACAACTAGAAGCATCTATATGGCCACCATTATACACAGAACATTCCAACATTATCTTTCTACATCAAAATCTTCAGAACCTATCTTCCTATCATTGCAATGATATTCTCACAAAGTAGCACATGAAAACCAACTAAAGATTATTTAGGGGAAAAAATAAAAGTAACTGATTAAAACTTTATGATTATTAATGATGGACAATCAAATAAAGATAATATGAACAACACATGTACTAATATCACTAGCAGTTGCAACAAAAAATCTATGGTAGTAACAACAATATACAAACAACACATGCCATTGGACAAACAACCTCCTGGTTTAGATAGTAGTTCTGTGTGTCTGTCAGTCTATCCTCTGCATTCTGTGCAGTATCAAACATTCTGTCCTCCGTTTTCAGTTCACTGTCCTCCAATCTATCCTCATGATTTTGTGCTTCATTCATCAATCTATTCTCTTGCTTCTGTGCTTTGTCCATCAAACTATCTTCGTGTTCCTGTACTTTGTCCATCAATCTATCCTCGTGCTTATGTATATTGTCCATCAAATTATCCTCGTGCTCAAGTACTTTGTCCATTAATCTATCCTTGTGTTCCTGTACTTTGTCCATTAATCTATCCTCGTGTTTCTGTACTTTGTCCATCAATCTATCCTTGTGTTTATTTACTTTGTTCATCAATTTATTTTCAGCCTCGTGAGCGTTAACTGTTTGTGTATTCTCAACACTTTGTGAAGTCCCTGGCAGTTTGTCATCAGCAAAATGTGCTGTGTCTTTAACCCTATCTTTAACAGTCTTTGCCATGTTCTCATCATTTTGAGCATTGAGCATGTCAGCTTCACAACCTGGCTTATCTGTCAGATGGTTTAATTTTTTATCAGCTGTCTCTGCTAAAGTATCATTAATATCTTGTACTATACCAATACTTTCAGCTTCCTGTCTTTCACAAACTTCTTCATTGTCATTTTTCTCATACAGACCGTTCTCTTCTTGCTTTACTCTGATATTCTGAGCATCTTCCAGTGACTTCAAGTTAAATACAGTCTCCAACCTCTGAATGCTGACAGATACACTGGTCATCTGTAAATATAGTCATATCAAATTTAATACAGAGCATCATACCATTAGAAAGCTTATCAGATGTTTTATGTTTTATGAAATATACTGTATTATGCCTATGTCTAATGAATGTTTACAATTTAATGCCTTACATGTATAAATGCACAAGTCCTTATTTATAAAAGACACTTAATAGGCTTTAATGAACTACTTACAGAATGATGCAAGTTTGTTTTTGTTCAGCATGATTTCAAATAAATGAACATTCCCAGGTCAAAATGTTTACATTAAAAAGTTGCATCTAAACTACATTCATTAGAAATATTAGTCTTTCTAACTTAAAGCAGCAGTTCTCATCAGCTCTTTGAGACTGGAGCCAGGGTTTATGCAAGGGGGGAATTTTGTATGATTTCTTAATATTTTCCTTCATTTGAACGAAAATATTTTTTGCCTCAAACTTTGCCAAAATAATACCATGTATAGTACCTACCAGTATTCCTCTAATAGTATTCTATATCCACTTTCTTATTCATTTTTTTTATCACAGAATTAATGTTACATTTTCCGACAAAATTGAAACAAGCTTTCAATAGATAATACCCAAAGTTGTATATTGTAAAATCATCTATTTAACATACTGCATCTGTATCATCTCAATTATTTATAATTCAAATGTCAGAATATAGATTTTATATACTCTGCCAGACCAGATAAATTTCCTAATTAACTAGTTTGTACAACAGATGTTTCTAACTGATAATGGCTTTATTTAAAATGACTAGATGATGAATGTGTTTTAACATTTAACCTGGGATGTGTTTCATAGAAAGTCCTAAGTGTATCCTCAGTCTTAGGACATAAATCCAACTTTAGGACTAACTAAAGACCGTTTTAATAAACATTTTTATTTTCAGTCAAATACATGTACTGTATAAATAAATGCATTTTCCAGAGAAAAGTTAAGAATTACAATGACAGACCTTTTTATTCACATTGTGTAAATGCCCATTACATGCATTAACATTGCTATTCAGAAATTAAAGAGTCATAACATAGAGGAAATGACATTTCTTTGAAACCTAAAATTGTCTCAGTTTTGATCTTACCACTGATTTCAGACTTAGGACTTTCTATGAAACACATGCAGCCCTGGTGGAACAAAAAGCTATAAGCCCTTGCCACCAATATCTTGCCAAACCAGCCAGCACATCGATGCAGTCACTTATAATACTGTTGGTGCCTCAATTATTTTAATTTTCATATTGAAATACCTTAAATATTTAATGGATTGTTCCAAATTCAAAAGAGGACAAATCCATTACACAAATTCAGCAGGTTAAGGGTTTACCCATTTTGAAACAATAATAACTGAGATACTGTGACTATGACCTCTGACCTACCTATTAAACCCAAGGGAGACAGCTACATTTCCATAATAGACAATAGAGTAATGCTTTGAATTATGGAGAACCATAAATTATGGAATAGATAATGGCATCGTGGTATCAAAACACTAAAATTAAGAAACCTACAGTATAGTAAGTACTGTCCCTTGTTCTTGCATGATTAAGTCAACTAGAACTACCACTGTCATGGTGTGAATACCCCCGCATACCACTTTGTCAGAATCAACAGTGGTCATTTAGAGCTCAGGGACAACCTCCCTGCAAAATCTGAGGGAAGTAAGCCAGTGCATTGCTAAAGTATGTATTCTACATGTTTTTGTGGCAAAGATTAAAGTGACCTTTACCTTTCACCTACTCACCTAAAACTGCCACTGCACGACTTGAATACCCCATTCATGCAGGTTTGCCTGGGGGTGTTTTATCATAAATATGTGAGAACATAATTATATGCTCCAAATGTGAAAATGTCAAAAGAAATAACACTTTAGACAGGCATTCTTAAGCATTTGAGCGGACAAGTTTATTGTAGTAAAAGCCCCTGTGACCGTGACCTTTGACACAGTCAGCTAAAAATCAATGCGGGTCATCTACTAGTTATAAACAACCACCATACCATATATGAAGACTGTTAACCAAAGCATTCTTAAGCAAATGAGCGGACAAGCTTTTGAACTAAAGGCCCCTGTGACCACCACCTTTGACCAAGCAACCTCAAAATCAATAGAGGTCACCTAATGGTCATGATCAATCTCCATGCGAAATATGAAGACTGGGTCAAAGATATTGGGCGGACAAACATTTTTTAGCAAAGGCCCGTGACCTTGACCTTTGACCAAGTGACTTCAAAATAGATAGGGGTCATCTACTAGTCATAACCAACCTCAATGCCAAATATGAAGACGGTTGATCGAAGCATTCTTATGCAATTGAGCAGACAAGCTTTTTGAGCTTTAGGCCCCTGTGACCTTGACCTCTGACCCAAAGACCTCAAATTCAATAGGGGTCATCTACTAATCATGACTAACCTCCATGCCAAATATGAAGACTGTGGGTCAATGAAGTGAAGCTACATGTACCAAGGTGACATTAGTTAGGTATTATAATCATTCTGTAAGTTACAATATTTGCATAAAATTGTCCGACTTGAATGATTTATCTTAATAAAATTACCTGTGAAATAAAATCTTTCTTTCTTTTTCTCTTCTTTCTTTCTTTTTTTGACTAAAAAACAAGAAAGGCAGAAAAATACAATAACAAAGAATAGTTCAAAATAGTTATTATATTCTTCAAAATAGTTAGTATTCATATGATGAATTCATTTAATACAAGATGATATTAAATGTTCTTTAGCTTTAGCACCAAGGTCATTATTAATTTCGTGCTGATCATCACATTTCGGCCTTCTCTAACATGTATAGTTGTCTTTAACACACAATTTGATAAATCTATCATTTCGAAAGCTCTAAAACAGAGTTGCTTCCCTTTATTGAAAGCAAAGGTCAATGGTCCTAAATTTTGGTACTATTAGTAATTATCATTCTCTTCACAAATACCTCAGTCCCTACTAATTTACCTTATCCACATCACAACATTGTTTTTCATCACAATTCACTCATTCACTCATTCTCATCAAACTTACTTCTGTTTCAATTCAATTATTTAATATTACAATCCCTTTACCTTATATTCATCTAAATAACCTCACACTCGTCACAATCACCTCATATTTATCACAATTACCTAAAACAATCATCACAATTACCTCACACTCATCACAATTACCTCACACTCATCACAATTACCTCACACTCATCACAATTACCTCATACTCATCACAATAAACTCACACCCATCACAATTTCCCCATACCCATCACAATTACCTCAAACTCATCACAATTACCTCAAATTCATCACAATTACCTCACACTCATCACAATTACCTCAAACTCATCACAATTACCTCATACCCATCACAATTTCCCCATACCCATCACAATTTCCCCATACCCATCACAATTACCTCAAACTCATCACAATTACCTCAAACTCATCACAATTACCTCACACTCATCACAATTACCCCACACTCATCACAATTACCTCAAACTCATCACAATTACCTCATACTCATCACAATAAACTCACACCCATCACAATTACCTCAAACTCATCACAATAAACTCACACTTGGCAGAATTACCTCACACTCATCACAATTACCTCACACTCATCACAATAACCTAACACTCATCACAATTACCTCACACTCATCACAAATACCTAACACTCATCACAATTACCTCACATTCATCACAATTACCTCACACTCATCATTATCAACTCACACTGGGCGAATCACCTCACAATTACCCCACACTCATCACACTTACCTCAAACTCATCACAATTACCTCACACTCAGCACAATTACCTCACCACTCAGCACAATTACCTCACACCATTTACAATTTTCCCAATACCCATCATAATTACCTCACACTCATCCCAATTACCTCACACTCATCACAATTACATAACACTTATCACAATTAACTCACATTCAAAACAATTACTAGTAACTCACACTCATCACAATTACATCACACTTATCAAAATTAACTCAAACTTAACACAATTACCTCAGACTCATAACAATTACCTCAGACTAATCTTAAATACCTCAGACTCATTACAATTACTCAACACTCATCACAATTACCCAAGACTCATCACAATTACATCACACTCATCACAATTACCCCACACTCATCAAAATTACTTCACACTTATCACTATTACCTCACACTCAACACAATTACCTCATACTCAACACAACTATATCTCACCCATCACAATAACCTCAGACTCATCACAATTACCTCAGACTCATCACAATTACCTCAGACTCATCACAATTACCTCAGACTCATCACAATTACCTCAGACTCATCACAATTACCTCATACTCATCACAATAACCTCAGACTCATCACAATAACCTCAGACTCATCACAATAACCTCAGACTCATCACAATAACCTCAGACTCATCACAATAACCTCAGACCCATCACAATTACCTCAGACTCATCACATGTCTGACTACAACTGGATTCATTTTGAGATGAACTGTTGTCCTCATATTTCACGGATGTGTAACCTGAGCATGAGGGTTCCTGCGATGATATATGGCCACTGGTCACATCAGTCTCAACTTCTGGCCGAGACTTTGGCGGTCTACCTCGCTTCCGCTTAACATCTTTACTCCCAGATAAAGACAAGGATTGACCTTGGTCCTGCGGACATTTCGCCTGTGCATAAATAATGTAAAAATATTAAATCAAACTGTTACAGATATCTCCTCATTAGACTGCAAGTATATGAAGAGGATGTATAAACAGTATATTAAGAGATGTAGTTTTTTTTACTTCCTTATAAAAGTTCTATTAACTCAAAGATAAATCAAGGTAATGAAAACAACATACAAAAAAGATAGGTAATATACTCTTCAATGTACAAGATGAAGTTACACTAAGCTTTTCTTAAATTAAGACCACGTCTTTTAAATGACCTGTCTAAAAAGTGAGTGTAAAAATTAAGAGCCAGTCTTTAAAATGACCTGTTGAATAGGAAAGAGCTAAAATCTAGACCTGTCTAATAAGTGAGTCAATACAGGAATAAAATATCAATAAACATTGGTTGGGTGATTTTGGCATATATTTAGAAATGATATTGTTATTAGCTGTTGCATTTTTGCAACAGCTTTCCTCTTAATTATATTTAACTTGTTTTTTACGATAATTATGGGGCTGTTACTGCATTGTTTTCCAGAATTTCAAATCTTAAACAGAGCATTGGTTTGCTCTTTGTTTATGGACAACACTAAGTACTGTAGTCACTTAAAACAAGCAGAGTAAGCAGAATTGAGAATGAAAAAAATAAGCTTAAAGGAACTCCACTGAGGTCCAAACGCCTTAAAACAGCAGATTTGAATTTCTTAATAAACATATTCTTGGGCACTTAAAACAGAAAGATATACTAAAGATAATTTAGAAATATACTCAGAAATAATTGAAAATCATATAACTATTTTTGTGCTATTCTTTTGCATTTCAATGCAGAGTGGTGTAACACTTTAAATCTTGGGTTATTCTTCACAATTGGAATAACTATACTGGATAAACGGAGTGAGCTAATGATCTGAAATTTTGGGTAGCAGTTACTGGCCTAAATTAACCTACATCATATTGAACATAAATGGCAAAGAAATATTTCCATTCCAGTCATGTCAAATAACCTCAGTTGAGTCCCTTTAAAGCCAAACCCTTACAATCTGGCTAAATCTTTAAAATTTAAGGTATATATCAATTACTTAATATAGAAACATGGATGATTCAATACTATTACAAATTTCTGACAACCGCTGTTAACTCTAATTTCTATTGTTTGAATTTCAAAAATGAAAATTGATTTCATTTACTCGGCTATATTAATATCTTGTATATTAAGATATCAGTATCAAAAAGCTGCAATTTGACATGCCAATATCATAGAGTCGTCCTAAGCTGAACAGATGTGCAGACTGTCCCGACATTAAACTGGAATTGCATCGCAGGCAATTGATTAACTCCACCAGTATTCAAAGATATACAGATTGTAAGAAAGGATGTTGAACACATCTGTTTATTAATCAATATAATAAGGTTTTTATTTTGTAATTAAGAAAAAAATCTATAAGATCTGGTTCACTGTGGTAATATAAAGAAAAGCTCTGGAAAAGTTTTCACCATGCAGCATATATTTGTACATCTGGGACTGGAATACTCCATAAAGCACATATTGTAAAATAACTGTTATCATATTTGACGCATGACTGGACTGATAAAATATTCTTATTCTAATTAATTAAAATATATGAGCTATCGGTAATTAGACTGATAAAATATTCTTTTCTACTTTTATGCTAATTCACTGCAAATAATAAATGACAAGTAAACAGATTAATGAATATTCTTATTTTTCTTAATAATAATCTAACTCATCATTTAAAATATATGACCAGTAAATGGAATCGTAAAATATTCTTATTCTCCTTATGCTAATTTATTGTTAATTATATATGACCACTAGTTACTGGAATGATAAGATATTCCTATTCTGCTTATTCTAATTCAATTCATTGTAAATTACATATGACTAGTTATTAGACTGATAAGATATTCTTATTCTTCTTATTCTAATTAATTGTAAAATATAATTATGTAACCAGAAATTGGACTGATAAAATATTCTTATTTATATTATTCTAATTGAATTACATTGCAAGTTAATTATGACCAGTAATGATATTTATAAAATATTCTTATTCTTTTTCTTCTTCTTATTCATTATAAGACTCACACTTCTAGGCTTGCTGTAAATACTGAGTTCAGGGAGGCGATCTAGGCTTACCTTCAATGTTCTAGTCTGAAATATGATAAAAATTCGGAAGCATATATGCGCGATCAATTAATTCAATGAATTTGTCGTGATATTTTAAAATAAAAGATCCAGAAACTTGTAGTCAAGGATTGAAAACATTTCATATAAACATAATATTGTGTTAGAAAATGTCAGTTTGTTCTCTTTGTTTTGTGGAAAATCGAAAGTCCCTGATGGTATTCCAGACTCTTTTATGTGAGTAAACTATCAAGCTTACTTGTATAAATGAGCCAGCACATGCCTGAAAGAATGGTAAGAGGGGCACTTGAGATATTCCTCCACCAGTAAAGCTGGAAAGTCGTCCTACATATGACCTGTACAGTGTTGGTGTCAAGCAAAACAAACTGACCACACATGTTATAACATAATGATTATCATGTTTTAAGATAAAAAATATTTGAGCCGTGTCATGACAAAACCAAAAGCATCCGCGCAGTCTGATCAGGATCCATGATGTTTGCTATCAGTTTCCCTACTTGTAAAAGGGTTTGTAAGCGAACAGCATGGATCCTGATCAGACTGCATGGATTGTCATGGCGCGGCTCATTTAATCCATGACTACAATTTGAATGTATATTGATTATTTTTCCAGGATCTTTTTTTTAAAAAAAAAGTTCTGCCAAATTCAATGAATTCATTGGGCTATACCACTTGATTGTAGAGTCTTTAAGTAGCCATACTGCAGAATAAAAGATGGTACTATAACTTTCAACATGATTAATTTACTAACATAAATAAGTGATACTATAGGGTAAAACATGCAGATAATGTAAATCAACCATACATATTGCGATGACAAAAAGTTTATATTGTAATCACATCTAAACTGCCATATCTGTAAAACTGGAGAAAAACTGAAGAAAAATAAAACAGAACAATAAACAATATTCAACAGAATTTAAAGCTGCATTCCCTCATATGTAGATTTTTTTTTTCTTTTTTTTTTTTTGGAAAATTTAAAAAAATGTTCTAAATAAGAAAATCAAATGTTGTGTTCATGTATAATGTGATCCAAACACAGTAGACATATCTACCCTTAACTTGTTGGAAACCATAGTGATAAGCCTTTGCCACTAGTATAGAGCCAGGCCTGCCACAACATCATTGCAGTTTGACATTGCTCTATACTGCTGGTCACTCAATCAGATGTATTTTGATATCAAAATTCCATAACAAGTTCCGATTTAAACCGGGGCAAATCTATTACAGATATTCAGAAGGTTAGGGGTTTATTATCTACAATAACGAATATAGCTTGCAGCTTTAAATATTTAGTAAGAACACATAAGGGGGTAAATTTTACTGTGTACAAACTATATCAAACGTAACACATGAAAATGAATACAACATTCAAAGCTCTTCTATTTTGGCTATTAAATACATTCTTAATGCTCTTCTATAAGTCATTCTTTTAATTTTGAACAAATAATATCTTATTTATTTTGGACATTACTCTGAAGAAATGTTCCTCAAAGGCTAAAGCTAAAGATTCACATGGGTCTTTCCCAACAAACATTATCGTGAAGAAAATATATATACTAAGAAATAAGTACTTTTTCATTCTAAATTCATTTCATTACATTGTACATCAAACTCTAACCCAAAGCCACCATGATTATCTGATCCAAAGCCACCGTGGTATCGAGTACTAAATGTAACAGAAACATTTCACAGAGGAATGCATTATACAGCCACTACAAAGTGACATTGTGCTAAATATATAACTGAATTAGCTATATATTTCAAACGGTTGACTTATAATGGCTACCAATTGATTACTTGTTATAACAAATGTTTAGGGTAAAAAACGAAATCTACCTAAAATAGATACATGTTCGGTATAAGACTGCCCAACAAAGGATATATATATATAGAGAGAGAGAGATTTCAGTCAGTCATGTGTGCTTTGTATTATATATGTAAAGTAAAACATAAAATTGAAAACAGTCCTGGCAAAATGTAAAGTTATTTTGACATTAATGTGTACACTTAAAACTTACACATTAATAAGCACAATGCCACATTACAATATCCAAGTTAAAGAAATATTACAATGTTCAGTGCTGTTTCCCAAACACCAGTGATTACAAGCATAAATACATATATATATTCTAGTTACTACAGGGGTAGGGATATTTTAATTTTCTGTGTCTTTATAACACACATACCTTCATTTCATTTTTTCTTGGTCGACCTCTACCCCTCTTGCTCCCAGCAATCTGTAAAATGAAGTAAGTAATTAAGTAATGTCACTGATTCTGCTTTATTATTTGTTTTTCTTTTGATTGGATGTAGTTCAGTATTTCTTCGGAATCAAGTTAGCTTTAAATGTATGAAAATTTCCTAAGGCTTTGAGTATTCATCGTTGGATACTCACAGTTCATTAACATGTAACATAACATAACAAGTAATGATAAATGTTAATGTTTCGGTCCTGGGTATCGGACGATGTAAATATTATAGATTGTCTAAAGGTTATGGCATGTACAGCGTGAGGTTTGGAAATAAACGACGTATTTCACCATTTATTATTTTATACTATTTAAAATGATACATATATCAAAATTTAAGTAAAGCCATAAAATTTGAATGATGTTGTATAAACAAATGAGGTACTTAAAACAAAAAGATGTGCAAATGATAATAACAAACAAGAGCTGTCGGTAGGACAGCACGCTCGACTATTCTAAGTGCTTGATAGTAAAAGAGCCTTGATAACGTAAAATTTAGAGCTTTGATAATGTTAAATTTTCTAAGTTCACAAAAGGGCTAATTTTTTTTTATAAATTCATGTTATAGGCCTTAGAGACAGTCTAATTATACAGTATTGCCTTAACTATTCGGAAGGTAATGTCACAAGGGTGTTTTATTGAGTATAATAATACTAATTACCTATGAATACATAAAATTGACAGAAAAAGTACAAAGGCTTGTTATTAAGATGTTTTATCAAGTAAATCACTGCTTTATTATTATGAATGCATATAATTGTCCCAAAAAAGGCACAAACCCTTCAGTAATTATAGAGATAACAGCTTACAAGCAAAACTTTACCATGAATTTCTAAGTTGAAAAAGGGGAGAAAAATCAGCCTAAATGCAAGATAGAATTATGGATCTTTGTCAGTGACCTACAATTATGACCCTAAATGCATATGTGAATTTTTAAATAAATATCTTTAATAGTTATTGAGATATGTAAAAACTTGCATGTAAACATTAACCAAGAGACTAAGTAGAAAAGGGGATATGAATCAGCCTTAATGCAGGATAGAGTTATGGAACTTTGGTCAGTGACATACAATTATGACCCTCAAATTATGACCCTAAGTACATGTGTAAAGTTTCAAGTAAATATCTTTGAAGACCTTTAACCTTTAACCAAAATTTTCAAAGTTTTCAAATTTAAGGGGCATAATAGTTCTGCAAATATTGCAGGCAGAGTTATGCAATTTTGCAAACTGATGTACATTGTTACAATAAAAAGTATTTTAAATTTCAATTGAATATCTCAAGCAATAATTGAGATATTTGACTTTACAAAAAAACTTTAACCAACATTTCTAAGTTAAAAAGGGGCATAATTCTGTCAATATTGTAGGCAGAGTTATCCAACTTGTCAATCTGATGTACCTTGTTACTATAAATAAGTATTGTAAGTTTCAATTGAATATTTCATGAAATAATTGAGATATTTGACTTTACAAAAAACTTTAACCAAAATTTCTAAGTTAAAAAGGGGCATAATTCTGTCAATATTATAGGCAGAGTTATCCAACATGTCAATCTGATGTACCTTGTTACTATAAATAAGTATTGTAAGTTTCAATTGAATATCTCAAGCAATAATTGAGATATTTGACTTTACATAAAACTTTAACCAACGCAGACGCCGACGCGGACGCTGACGCCGGGGCGACTACAATAGCTCTCATATTCTTCGAATAGTCGAGCTAAAACTACTTTATACTGAAATGAAAATCGTATTTTTGTGCTATTCTTGGTTAGATTTGAATGAAAAGCATTGCAATGCTTTTCAATTTTGCGTCATTTTTCACAATTAGAAAAAGTGCTCTGGAAACTATCTGAAATTTTGCACACAAGTTATTTGTCTAGACCTCCATCAAATGGTACATTAAGTTTGAACAAATATTTCAAGTCCGGTTACGTCAAAAAACCTGGAGTCCTTTAGCAAAGGCTATTTAATTTACATAGTGCTTTCACTTACATAGAAGATAGTAGCAAGAACACATTATGTAACAATCATTTAAGCTTAATAATGTTAATTACCTTAATTTTGTTCCGAGGTCGTCCTCTACCTTTTGTAGCGTGGAACTTCAACAGTCGTACCTGATATAGATGATTAAAACAATCTTGTTTGAAAGCAAAAGCAAATAAAGAAAAAAAATGAACTTTTCCAACTGGACATAAACCTACCCATATATTTTCATAGGCAGACAAAACCCACAAAGTAATTATTAAGGACACTGAAAAGACCCACTTAAATTTCAAGGTGGACATTTGTTGACCCAGGTGTTTTGTCCTACAATCAAAGGAAAATATAAACAAATATATTCAATGTTGTTCTCCTGTGCGAATAGAATAATTTAATGCTCATCACAGGCATGTAAAATATAATTTTATATTGATTCTTTTTAATAAACTTAGTATTGAACCTATACTCATTAACTATCCTATATATTTAAAAGCCAATGCATACTAATAATCTAAACATTAATCCTACATCAACAGTTACCTACCTTTAATATCTGGTATCTTGATAGACCTGCCTGGTTCCCTTCAGATTCCTAGAAAAATTTAATCGAACACATACAATTCATGAGTTTTCATAAAATTTCAGACTTAACTGACATTAAACTGAGTTGTGTCATCTTAATAAAATCAAATTCAAGAAACAATCAGCAATACAATACTTCTTGATTTCTTGATTTTGCAGCACTGACTCAAGAGATTAAAGACGCATGATTCACAGTACATTAAAGATGAATGCCTCCAAAATTAGCATAAATCTGGAAGCTGAATTATTATCATTATCATGCTGAATATGAAATCATCATAAAGGTAGGCAAAGTCATACAAAACATTAAATCACTATTACTATATTAACAGCCAAAATTCAAAAGACGCAAAACTTAGCTCGATTAACTGGTCAATGACTAACTGTATAGAAACTAAACAACTTCAAGAAAAAGATTTTTTAAATAAAAGCATTTTTGAGGCATTATTGGCCTTTAAAAGGACTTAAGAAATTGAATTTACCTTCATAATACGATACGTTGGCAGCTCCTCATCTAGACAGTCCTAGAAATATTGACAAAATATATAAAATCCACTTTAAATAAACCTGACATTAACAGGTTTTTGATTCACAAATACTTAAAAACATAGATGATATATATGTCAATATGGTCTAGTGCCAACGATTAAATCTCTAATACATGTACATGTACTTTGTGCTTCTCAAATATTTCATTATTTACTGGAATAGACAAAGTTGGTCAGATATATACAATATTTCACTATTAACTGGAACTGTCAAAGTTGGCCAGATATACATGTATAGAAGACATTGTTATTTTATTATTTACAAGAACATAGTTGTCCAAATATATACAAGAAATTGGAATATTTAATACTTGTTATTATAGAGCTTGTACCATAATTTTACACAGCAACCCTGGTATAACACTCAAGCTTGGGTCCAAGGTCTGAACACTCTGTTATAACGAGATTCTGACATAAACCACTCATTGCGAAATTATCGCATTTTCACACCCATGGCCGTCACATATAAAGCTAATGTTTTTTACTTACCGTTCAATGAGTATCAACATTTGTTCTCTAAAACAATATTATTTTGCCAAATTTTACAAATTACATTTCAATGAAGCAGAAAAGTTAGAAAAAATTTAAAAGGCAACGTAAGTCAAAATTGTAAGCACAGTTAGTCATTACAGTTGTAGTAAAAGCTTCCAGCTTAAGTTGTGTCCATTAGTTAATCAATTGATTAATTAACGGACACAACTTAAGCTTACATATATTAAAATGATCACAAGTCTCAGATTTGAGATTTTGTAACATTTTGATATCTAACTAATCAACCTTCTGCACTCACGATAGTCCATATTTCAATTGTTTATTGTACTTGACTGACACATTGAACAAGCATTATAGCACATAAGGCGTGTAATAAATATACATGAAAAAAATTATAATCAGCAAAATATACAATTTTTTTTTGGTGAGCTATGAGCATAATACTAAGATTAGGGTTATAACATGGCGCGTTTTATCGGGTTGGCAGTGTATTTTGTACATGAGCACTCTAAGAAGGAATACATAGGGTAATCCTACCATTATTTTTCTTCTTTTTTGTTTGTTCCCTTGAGGACAGGCTGGGTTGTCTGACTCGAAACCTGATTCTGACTCATCACTACTGTCACACTGAAAAATACACTATACATGTATAACACTATAATCAACAATTGCTCAGGCACTTTACAAATTGATAACTTAATTTGCTTTTCTTAATTAAGGTACTCAGTAGTTTTGAATTAAAATTTGGAAATCCCCTGTACTTTCCATATCCAATTAAAAAAAAACCCTTTCCATATCCAATTAAAAAAAACCCACTCATTTTATCTTTATAATACAGTTGATAAAACATGCAAACATGTTCATGAGCTGAAGTTAATGGATACAGTACCTAGATGCAAACAAGAGAATATTTGTTTGTTTCAGTGAGTGACAAAAAATACATGTTACACCTTTATATAACTATGATTAAATTTATAACTGGACTTACATGTTTAATTATCTAAACTTACAAAATTACATGACACTGCCTCCTTAAAAAATGTATAACAGACACAGTTTCAATGTTAAAAGATCAATCAGAAGACATACCTCAGAATTGGATGTTTCACAACTTGCTTCTGACACATCATCATTACTTTCTTCTTCAACCTTATCTTCATCTTGCTCATCATTACTTTCTTTATGCTCAATTTTACCTCCCTTCTCATCATTACAATCCTCATGCTTAATCTCACTTCCCTGCTCATCATTCTTTCCTTTATGCTTAATATAACCTCTTTTCTCCTCATTACATTCTTCATGCTTCTTATCATCTCCTTCTTCATCATCATCTTCACTTTCTTCATCTTCATAATCCTCTATGTAGGTATCCTATATCAAACAAGATGGCCATGATAGACCAAGATTGCTCATCTGAGATATGTTGATGGAAAAGGTCATATTCTTCATTACATTGGATATAACATTATAGATGGCCACTTTTTGCCAAGAAGCCAAGATTCATAAAATTGCGAGGAGGTACACATTTTTCTTGCTAAATATAAAAAAATAATTAAAGATAGTTTTCCATTATATTAAATTACTATTAGTGTCACAAATGTGACTTTAAGTCACAGATTTTTTACCCCAGGGCCATGATTCATATAACTTTTGTACAAGTTCACTAGGCAATGTAACATGTGCTATATCTAAGCTTCAGGGCATGAAGTTTCAGAGCAGAAATTTTTACGCATATTCTTAAGAAGATCCTTGTAAACTAAATAAAAGACCCACAGCACAAGGCCAATAAATATTTTGAACACCCATAGGAATGATTTATTGAGTCTTTGTAGAGGTCAACTTGGCAAACTTAATGCCAAATATCTAAGCACTGAACATTGTACATGTAGTAACTTTCTCAGAAGATTAGATTTTAATGTGTTTTAATAGCATAAGTCCATATAAACTAAGAGACACTCAGGGTGGGATGTATTTTGACCCCAGGGGCATGATACATATAATACAACTTTTGTAGAGGAAAAGCACTGTCACACTAAACTCAAAATATCTCTGGGCATAAAAGATTTTTAAAAATAATTCATTTTAACATCTTTTTTTAAGCTCCTGTGACCTTCTTGTGCATTAGACTGGAAAAATTATATACACATGTACCTTTTGTAGAGGGTCACCCAAGAATATTTCTGTGAAGTTTGATCAAAATTCATCATGTGAAAAAGAAAGAGATGTTTTAAAGAAATTATGGATAAGGACAAATGACGGATGTTGAGCAACATTCAACAGACAACATGTTACCACAAAAGCTCACATCACAGCACTTTGTGCTCAGGTGAGCTAAAACAGCAAAATAATTTATAAGCATAAAATATGTCAAATTAAAATATATATACACAACAATGTACTTTCAACTTTAAAAATATATGCCAGATATATTCTTCTTGATGAAAACATACACAAATTTAGATTCATGTGAAACATGGAATAAATAAATGCATGTACTGCTAATAACAAACTTTAAACTCATAAGTTATTTTTTGATATGTATTTTCTGACTGTGATAAGAATTATTAACAACATTTAAAATTTGGACAGATATCAATTTTCAAAGAGAAAAAGGTCTCAAATCTGCATTTAAACCTTCATAAACCAGAGCTTAAAAATTATCAACAAACTGACTGGACAAGGATAACAGTACATTATATAATAATTTACATATAGAACCCAATCGCACCATACTTCTTGAGGACAGCGATGCTTGACTATTCGAAAGAGTTGTAACCAGCGTGTTTCATTGAGTATAATAATGCTTACCTATATGAATACATAAAATTGTCTGAAAAGGTACAAAGGCTTGTTCTTAAGATGTTTTATCGAGTTAATCACTCCCTGATTATAAAAAACCTAACCAAGAATTTCTAAGTCGAAAAGGGGCATAAATAAGAAAAAAAGCTAATCAGAGTTATGGGACTTGTGCCAATCATGTTAGATAATCACAGAGAAAAACTGTTAGAAGTTTCAATCCATTCCCTTCAGTAGTTATGGTGATACCAGCTATAAACAAAAACTAAACCAAGTCGAAAAAGGGGCATAATTATGCAAAAAAGCAGACCAGAGTTATGGGACTTGTGCCAATCATGCTACATAATCACAGAGAACAAGTGTTTGAAGTTTTAATCCATCCCCTTCAGTAGTTATGGAGATACCAGCTTACAGGTAAAATCTTAACCACAGGGACACCGACTCCCGACACTGAAGCTGACAAATGGGTGACTGCATTAGCTCGGATATTCTGCCAATAGTCGAGCTAATGAGTAGCCAACAATACAGATTTAGAGCAAACAAATGTACAGCTGGCTTCAAATTGATGGCATGGACAATTTATTGTCACTCAGAAGTTTCAAACATTCTATTGGATAAAGCAGGAATTCAAATTTAAAGACCAGTGCTAAAGCCAATATTATTAAAGAGATGTTGAAATTATGTTTAATATAATATGTGTAGATTAAAAATCAAACCATACGACTAACTCTGCTACTGCAAATATTATGGGAAGCTGTTAAAATTTATGTTAAATGTATGTGCAGATTAAATGACATAAACTTTGCTAAGTACTGTCAATATTACAAAAGAGATGATATAAAAGTTAAGTTAAATATATGTTGAGATTAAATGACATAAACTTTGGTACTGCCAATATTACAAAAGAAATGATATAAAAGTTATGTTAAATGTATTGTGTAGTAGAGGAAGACACCACATGACATTAACTTAATTCTTGAAGAAGAAGTGATAAGAATTGAACCGCGCTATGACAAAACCAACATAATGGGTTTGCGACCAGCATGGATCCAGACCAGCCTGCGCATCCGCCAAGTTTGATCAGGATCCATGCTGTTCACTTACCAACCATATAACAAGTAAAGAAACTGATAGGGAACAGCATGGATCCTGATCATACTGCGCGGAGGCTGGTCTGGATCCATGCTGGTCGCAAACCCATTATGCTGGTTTTGTCATGACGCAGCTCAGATTAACTATGACAAAATTTCACATATCACAACATATACAACTTACAACATATGACAATCTAGGTCTCTTTCTCAATTTCTCTCTCTCCATCTTGAATTAGAAAATAACAATAAAAGCATGTTAAACTAACAGGAAAAAAGATGTACGAGATACAATAATAAGCTAATCTTTTAAACAGATGTATATACATAAAGCTTTTTTGCTTGAGCTTTTTATCTAGTAAGGTCATATTGGCAACATTCCAGCTTTCCCGGTTGAGGAAGACCCTATCTACCACTCCATGTAATATTTCAGGCATCCGAGTAGAACCACCAACATTCCATACACTGACTGAATAGCTTCCTTACATAAAGGAATCCAAAGTCCCTGGTAGGATTTGAACAAATAGCATAGTCAGACAGACCAAAGATTCCATAACTGTGACCATAACCACTTGGCCACAGAGCTCCTTGTATCTACATAAAGTAAAAAAATGAAGAATTGGCCAAGTGGTAGAAGGTGACCTTTTTTTGCAATAGATTATACAACTTTCCTCTTCTATAGTGTCATACTGATGTTTTACATCTACTTTTCCTGATGTAGCAAAAAAGCTTTGTCACACAAAATAATGCTATGTTTTAGAGAGACCCATATAACCATTGAAGTGTTAAGCTAAAACAGTGCAGTAAATTTACAGACAGTGATTGTATGTTAGCAACCTTTACCATTCAGCCACAGATCACAAATATGCATCTTTTTTCAGAGACTCTCAATTCATTTGTTTAAGTAAAATAAACAACTTGATATTAAGGACATCTCTTCATGTATTAGAAACAGACAATGAATAGAAGTCTAAGTACTATTCACCCCTTTCATGCAATGAGATGACCCATGGTTTTTACAAATACAGTAGAACCCTGCTAATGAAACCACTTTTGGTTCTGCAGAAAATTGGCCTATAAAGTCGAAGTAGAACCTCATCTTACAACCATCATGGTTTCATGCCTGTTTTAATCCAAATACCCAATTATGACCAATTTTACAAAGAATGAAATATTTTTTTCTCATTTCAATGGTCTTTCTATCCGAAATTAAGAATATGCTCTCATATCTTAACAGCTCTATAATAAGAAATGAAAGCAACTGTATATGAACCACGTCAACATAATGCGTTTGCGACTGTGCGGATGTTCGCTTACAAACCCTATAACAAGTAGAGAAACTGATAGCGAACAGCATGGATCTTGATCAGACTGCACGGATGCACAGGCTGGTCTGGATCCATGCTGGTCGCAAACCCATTATGTTGGTTTTGTCGTGACGCGGCTCATATATGTGCATATCACTTACATTACTCTCAAGAGTTTGGTCTTTCTGCTGGCCTTCTGTATGACTCTCTTTAACATTCATTTTCTGAAAAACATATCAACACAACTTGTCACCTATGCTGAAACTGTGCCAGATTTTGAAAAATCAGACTTAGGTTCATTCAATTTAATCCAAAATATCTTAGTGTACATTTATGCGCAATCAGTTTACTTTTTATTTTAGTTTTTTCACAACAGTGCACTGCACCATCAAAGTACACTTTGATTATCAACTGATAACCTGCGGACAGCAACTGAATATACCCATGTTACCAGTGCAGACTAAGATGGATCAGCTTGCACGTCCGCTGTCTGATTATTGTCTTCACTGTTTGCTTTACGGTCATTCTTATTCTAAACTTTCCCCTTAAAGTGATGAATGGCTTTGTCTAGAATGAATGATGGACAAGTCCATTTAAGATATATAGGGTGGTAAGAGTTAAGTTGTTTATACAAATATTTCAAAACTTCGAAACTGATTCACTAAGCAATTTGCTCTGCTTGGTTAAAACTGACTTTAATAAATTGTTGACTTTGCTCGAAGATAATAATCTGCCAAATCATTTTTTCATTAACTAACTAACTATAAAAGAAGCATTAAAGAAGAAAGGAAAGTATTTATAATGAATATCATACATGTGAACTTTTTTTGATGATCAAGTGGGAGATTTTTCTTCAAAAAGAGGGAGATTTTAGAATTTGCAATAAACAAAGAAGGAAGTTCTGACATCAAAAATAGGGAGATTTCTTTAATTTGTGAAAATATCCCTTATTTTAAGAAAAAATCTTTGAAAATAAGGCTGCAGAAAGTGGGAGTCTCCTGCTAAAAGTGTGAGTGTTCACGTGTATGGAATATTCCTTAGTATGAAAAAAAGAACAACAGAAACAATAATAACTTAACACACTTACCTTTTCTTGACAATTAGCTACAGATTCTACATGTTTCCTTGGGCGGCCCCTTTTTCCTAATTTTTTCTGAAAGAAAACGCGTAATAAAAAGATAACTGTGGTTTCAATTAAAACTTCACATATAATAACATATAAATACAGCTGTTGAAGTGATGTTTAAGTTCTATATTGATGTCTTGATCGATATCAAACAAAATTAAATACTCTCTACTGCAGAAGATAAAAATCTTTACAGCTTTCCCAGTATGTCAGCCTGTCAATGTTTATTTTTACTTTACGTCACAGCTTCTCATTCACGTAGTTTAATTTCACATCTTAATTTGTAAAATGAACTTGCCCTGCTTTGAATTTGGACCAATCCATTGTTTTTTTAAAGGGGAATTTTTACAATATCAGAAATTTAAGAATTGAGCAGACGACAGTACAACATCTGGTTGGACTGCATCGATAAGCAAGCTGGCCTGATATAGGAGTGCACTGACACAGATTTTACTGCTGCTACTAAGAAATCAAAACACAATCTCATTAAAATCTCATATTCTAACTGTTGCTCCAAACTTCTGTTATCTCAGAGTAACAGAGCGAAAAAGATGAGATTTAATCAAAACATTATGTAACATAAAGACAAGAGGGCCATGATGGCCCTATATCCCTCACCTGACTATAAAGGCTCTATACATAACATAAAGAGAAAAGGGCAATGATTACCCTATATCACTCACCTGACTTTAAAGGCTCTAAATGACAAAGGACTGGTAATATTAATAACTATAGCCGGCACTATTTAAGAATTTAATTAAGGATAAGGTTAAAGAGATTACTATAGTCTTAAATCTTTCTTGACTATACAAATAAGGAGGTGGCCTCAACCTGTGCAGAAAGTATACAGGATTTAATCCTGCATCTTTCCAGGAAATCCTAAGAAATCTCAGGAATTAATCCTAAAAAAACAAGAGCTGTCACAGGAGACAGCGAAGCTCGACTAATAAAATACTGGACGCAGTAAGGAGGACAAAACTATGAAAGAAAAATCAATTATGTATAATTATGTATTAAGTTATAGTAAAAAAATAACATTTGTTAACATAAATTCCAAGATCAAGGGGAATAATTATAGAAATAGTCATGCTAGAGTAATGGATCTTGCCACACAACATTTGTGTAATGATAAGAAATATATATTTGAAGTTTGAAGTAGATGCCTTAAAAAGGAAAGAAGTTATTATATTTCTTAAAGAAAATCCTAAGTTCAAAGAGAGATAAATCTGTAAATATTGCTTCAAGAGTTATGAACATTGTCACATAAAATGTAATTAATGATAAGGAATAAGTATTTGAAGTTTGAGGTAGATACCTTTAACAAGAGCTGTCCGTAAGACAGCGCGCTCGACTTTTTTATTGCTTGCCAATAAAAAAAGTTTTTGCAGTAAAAGGCAATACAAGAATCTCTGTATTTTTAAAGTGAACTAGTTGTTTGATACCCTTGAATATTACAGCAATGTTTATATGACATAATTTATGGTAAAGTGAACAAGTGGATAGGAATGAATTTTTTTAGATTTTTTAAGTTTTTTAGTGCTTGCCTATAATACAAAACATTGACAGTTAAGGGCCATAATTCAAATAAAATCTTTGACAGAATTACCTTCTCCTGGACATGTTTGGGAATCATGATTGTAAACAAGTATTCCAACTTTCAAATTAATATCTCAAACAGTTCAGTCAAAAAGTGGACTGGTACTAAAAACTTAACCAAGATTCTAAGTCGATAAAAGGCCTTAATTTTTAAAACAAATCCTTGACAGAGTTACCTTCTCTTGCGTACAGATGGGGGTAATGATGTGAAATAGCATTAAAAGTTTCAAAGCAATATCTCAAAGGGTTAAGGCAATAAGTGGATTTTACCCATATTCAATGTATTTTCTAAGTCAAAAAGGGGCATAATTCTGTCAAAAACCTTGACAGAGTTATGTCCTCTTGTCTGTTGATGAAGGTCGTGATGGTAAACAAGTATGGTCAGTTTCAAAGCAATACCTCCAATGGTTTTGAAATAAAGTGAGGTGGTACAAAAAACTTAACCAAGCTCAATACACTTTCTAAGTCAAAAAAGGGCCATAATTCTGTCAAAAACCTTGACAGAGTTATGTACTCTTGTCTGTAGATGGAGGTTATGATGGTGAACAAGTATGGTAAGTTTCAAAGCCATACTTGTAATACTTCTGAAATAAAGTGGGGTGGTACGAAAAACTTAACCAAGGTGTGACGCCAACGCTAACGCCGACGCCGGGGCGAGTAGGATAGCTCCCCTTTTCATAGAAAAGTCGAGCTAAAAATAAAAATGAAATAATAAAAAATAACATTTTTCTAGTAAATAAATCTAAGTTTATGGGGAGATAATTATTGCAATATTGGTGCTAGAGTTATGAACCTTGTCACATAAGATGTGGATGATGATAACGTAAATATATTTGAAGTATGAAGTTGATCCCTTTAGAAATAAATAAGTTACAGTAAAAAATAATATTTTTTATGGAAAATTCTAAGTTCAAAGGGAGATAAATCTGAAAATATTGGTGCTAGAGTTATGAACCTTGTCACATAAGATGGGGATGATGATAACGTAAATATATTTGAAGTATGAGGTTGATCCCTTAAGAAATAAAGAAGAAACAGTAAGAAATAGTATTTTTTGAGGAAAATTCTAAGTTCAAGGGGAGATAAATCTGAAAATATTGGTGCTAGAGTTATGAACCTTGTCACATAAGATGGGGATGATGATAACGTAAATATATTTGAAGTATGAGGTCGATCCCTTAAGAAATAAAGAAGAAACAGTAAGAAATAGTATTTTTTGAGGAAAATTCTAAGTTCAAAGGTAGATAAATCTGAAAATATTGGTGCTAGAGTTATGAACCTTGTCACATAAGATGGGGATGATGATAACGTAAATATATTTGAAGTATGAGGTCGATCCCTTAAGAAATAAAGAAGAAACAGTAAGAAATAGTATTTTTTGAGGAAAATTCTAAGTTCAAGGGGAGATAAATCTGAAAATATTGGTGCTAGAGTTATGAACCTTGTCACATAAGATGGGGATGATGATAAGGTACATATATTTGAAGTATGAGGTTGATCCCTTAAGAAATAAAGAAGTATCAGTAAAAAATAGTATTTTTTAAGGAAAATTCTAAGTTCAAGGGGAGATAAATCTGAAAATATTGGTGCTAGAGTTATGAACCTTGTCACATAAGATGTGGTTGATGATAAGGAACATATATTTGAAGTTTGAAGTTGATACCTTAAGAAATGACAAAGTTATAGTGAAAAATATTTTACTGCACCAAAACTTTAATCTAAAATCTGGACGCGGACGCGGACGCCGACGCCGACGCCGGGGCGAGTAGGACAGCTCTCCATATACTTCGTATAGTCGAGCTAAAAATCACAGGATTTCCTAAGATAATCCTAGAACTTTCACACTGTTGAATTGGACTGCAACAGTCCCAGGACTGTCTTGAAGACAGGAAAAGAACAGGAAAAGAAAAAATACGACTGCTGTCCCAGGAGAGTCTTGTTCCCAAGATTGTTCTGTAATCCATTGAAAGTCTTGTTCTCTGAGGACAGTCTTATTAAAACAGGCTATCTATCAGCTGAATATGCAGGTTAACATTACCATCAAAACACAAGTCAAATATATTTATACAGTTAAACTTACAAATAATGCAGGTTGGGCAGACATTTGTGTAGTTTCATCAACAACCTTTTTTGGCCTACCTCTCCCCCTGTTTGAGATTTTCTAAAATAAAACACAAACATTACATATTAGATTAAGTTCTTTTTTTTTCTTTTTTTTTAACAACCTCCCACCCACCATCACCCGGACAATTTAGATACATTTTGTATTATTTTTCTAACCCTGTTATGACAAGATGCTTGTATTTTTATTCATTTTTTAAAAGTTTCTGAAAGTTTTTTAAAATTTGAACAGCCAGCTTTTTGTGATTTGGTCCAATTCAAAATTACTAAACACTGTTGAAAGTTTAATTGTAAGTTTACTCAATAGCTGATACAGCGATAATACCATTTGTCCATCCCTCTACCTCTTTCCATGGAATGTAATTATTGTGATGAATTTCCTATCTATAGTAACATCTAAATGTAGTTAAAAATTGCAAACAAAAATCTATACAGTACGTCATCAATTTCACTTAACCACATGCTTGAGAATGGCCATTTCATCCTTTTTATGTCAAAAGTTGACCTTTGACCAATGTTAAGAAAATATTGAATTCTAAGCTTTTCTCCATCTCGTAACAAGCCTCTAGCATTGATACATTTTATTACAATACAGTCATCTTAAACATAAAGGTTACTATCTAAAGATCAATACAAAAAATAATTTAAATTCATTTATTTGGTTTGGTTTTAGGTCAAGATGACACAAAAAATGCCATTTGGCAACTTTCCAGCTTCATAACAGCCACGGTAGTTCTACTTAAAGGGACACCACTGAGGTCAAAAAGACTTAGTATCTTGACCAAAAAAAAACAGGAGAAGTTTCAGGAATTTCAGGCATCTTTCTGTATCTGTAACTTGCACTATATATCCTCCAAAGTCTTAAAGACTTATACTCTTCTAGAGGTCTTGCCCACGTCAACAACTGGTGGTATTATAAATTTATAAAATAAACTCAAATAAACACACACACATCCGAAAGTCTAAAACCCAGAAAATTTGAATTTCTGAAATAGATTTACTGGGGCGCATTAAATGGAAAGATATGCAAGAGATAAGAGTAAAATATACTCAGAATTAAGAATTGAATTTTTGTCCTATTCTTAGCCTGATTTTAGTTAAAATAGCTTAAACTGTTCATTTTTGGGTCATTTTTCACAAGTAAAATAATTTTTCGGGAACAACAGAGCCAGAGAATAATCTGAAATTTTGCACACAAGTTGTTGGTACAAACAAGCATCAAATTGTACATGATTCTTAAAAATGTATTTTGAGTCCCGTCTTGTCAAAAAATCCTCAGTGGAGTCCCTTTAATTGTTCAAAGGATAGTTTTAAAAGCAAGAAAAATCCATCTCGGTAGAGGTTAAAATTAATGTAATGGTTTGGTTTAAACATTTTTACTTATGTCCATTACAAAAAAAGTTCTTGCAACTTATATTAATCACTTTCTAGTCTGCTTCCTGGAACCAACCAGTACTGGTGTCATATAAAAAAAACACTGTCGTGACCCCATTAGGGCTTAAACCCCTGACCCCTAGGTAAAGAGGCAGACACTTTAACCACTAGACCAGTCTGCTCCCCTTAATAAATGTAATATTCTACCTGTTCAGGTTTTATTGGGTATTTTCTCGGTCTTCCTCTCTTGCCAGAGGACTGAAATACATTAAATAAGAGTACTCTTATACTTGGACAAAATACAATGTACCTATTAATGAGGAGGTCACAAACAAGGTTAAATTAACATTTAAAGAAAAATATCAATCTAAAATCCTGTCATTTAATTGGCTAATTTCTGAGAGCAAAATGTAATATGACCAATAGTGGAGCTCCATTTTAAGACTGGCCTTAAAGCTTAAATCTTTAGAAGTTTTCATTCTGCAGAATGTTTATATACTATAAACTTTCACTGAGCTTTTAAATTACCTTGACAACAGAATGTTAAGTGACTCATACAAGGTGATGGAAATAATAAAATGTCTTACCTTTTTTTGAAGAAACTTGTGGGCTGATTCTGGGAATATTTTAGCAAGTTCCTCATTAATAGTTGGCAGCTGAATCCCTACAGGCAGTACAGACTGGTTAACTTCAGGCAAAGATTGGTTAACTTCAGGCACAGACTGGTTTACTGCAGGCAGTACAGACTGGTTTACTTCCTTTTCACTCTCTTTTAGTTCATCTTTAACTAGGCTTTCTTGGATACCTGACTCTGGCAAAGTCTATGTAATATGAAAAGTATAAGTAAAACCTCTTCAAAATAAAAAATTGCTTTAAAATCATGCAGACTTCCCAAAATTCCTAACTTAAACTTGGTTTTTACTTTCCCAAATTTGCAAAAAAAATGTCATGATGAAAATTTATGTTCCGAATGTGCAGTATTATAAGCACAGAATACAGTATGTGCATAACTGAAGATCATTATTAATGCATTTAGAAACTGTAAAAAACTTGGAAAGCAAAAATATTTTAACAATCAAATATTTGCGCCGAAACAGGAAAACTGATATTGGCTAACCTCTGATATTACAAACATAAAGCACAACCAGGGGTCAAAACTTAGAGCTTAGAGATGTATAGACTCCAGTAATTCGAACACATTTAGTTGCCACTTACGATCATGCAGGGATAAACTATAGCTGCAATTCTGATGCCTCAACCCTTAAACGCAACACCTCAGCCACAAGGTGGAAAGACAATAGTAAAATGAGCATAAATATACGTATAAGAAGCTTACATGTTGTGTGATGTTTCCAGGTTCAACTGCCATTGTATTCGTTTGTCCAATATTTACATGTCTGAAATTTGAAGAAAAAAAACATGCATTATGCATTATGAATATGTGACCCATACAATACAAAAACTGTTAATGAATAAATGAATCAATAACTGTAAACAAATCAATATATAATTTACAAGCAATATGATTATTTTGTACATTAAAAAATGAGAAAAATTTTATATTATGGTATAGTATCAGTGAACAGAACTGCAATACTTTTATATATAACAGAATAACATAAACATGTATATTAATAATACTACATCGAAATTGACTGTGTGATATTTTCTGCAATATGTAATGGATTTCTTTCCAATTTCACTTTAACAGAATTGATCAAAATGCTACATGCTGTTATGACCTACAAAATCGTTATTTATTTTCTTGCATTGAAACAGCTGTTTAAACTGCAATCTGCTGTCATAATTGATGTCTTTTTCAAATGTTGACAGATGTGCAGATCTCTAGCACAGTATTTACCTTAACCTCGTCAAAGTCTGTGACTTAATATTACTTTGACAAAGTAAAAAAGACAGACCTCATTGGACTGACATCCTTCAGTTAAATAACTCACTCAATACTACCTTTAGACAGATAATCACTTAGTACCTCAAACCAAATAAATCACTAAAAACCTTAATGATGTTAACAAGCAATTAACACTGACTATTGCAAGCATTTCACAAGTCCCCTACCAGTTAGAAACCCAGCAACATTCTGAAGGACCATTGGTCATTCAATTATGACATTGAATAAATTATTGACATAAATGAACTTAATATTTTGAGATCTTAGTTTGTCTGTGTTAAATTTCCCTTCCTAGTAAGGAAATGATGTTTATACAACAGGTAATCAAGGTTTCTCAGGATGAATATGTATAACTAAATTGTTTCAACTTTTCTCTTTTTTAAGTAAATTTCTTGGAAAAGTTCAAAGTTCTTTAAAAGTACTATCACTGGCAACAGCTTTTAGGAATGGACGAATGGACGGACAGACTGAAAGACACTCTGAGGGTAAATCTTTAAATATCCCTGGTTGTTATCATAATACTGACATGTATAACATTTTTAAAAGCAAAATTCTTAAACTAAAGAAGAGATAAAATAAAGATGCTAGACTTATGGACATAGTCATACATGATGTGAGTGTAACAAAGAACAATTACCTTATAAAGTTTAAAGAACATACCATTAATAGTTAGAAGAAAAGTGAAAAATAACAATTTTCAAATATACCATTTATATTAACAGAGTAAATTAAAAATTAAAAAAACAAAACAACAATTTTCAAGTAAATTTCAAGTTTAAAATGAAAATAATCATGAAAACCCATGACTTACAAATCTAATCACATAATTATGATGTAGGTGTTGATAATAAATAACTTTAATTATAATCGTTCAATAAATTCTGTATTGAACCTACACTCATTCAATATCCTCTATATCCATTACATAAATTCAACACAACAACACAAACATGAATAATCCTACAAAATATAAGTAAATATACATACATCAGAATGCCATTAGGACATACACAAAACAGTCATTAAAAATATCCTTGAAATTTTTTAATATAACATGAAGTAAATTAAATATGATCTAGTGAACCATGTAGCTGTGTATACAGTACTTGCTATCATGTTATGTCAAGCAGAAAGATGTACATGGAGATATGCACTGACACCAAACTCTATTTTCAAGATACTCCAAGCAGAACGCTATACCCTGTCATACACTCATAATACTGTCATCTGTTTACGTCTGCTTACAGTATGCAGCAATTTCAATGCACACACTAGGTCTATCTTCAAGCTGACCTTTCAAAAACTTAAGTTATTTGAATTTCGTAAGAATTTACATTGAATTTCGTAAGAATTAACAGTTTCCCTATATCCCAATTTTAAACACTGCGTCCTCCATCCTTTTACTGCTGAAACTTGATAAATGGTCATTTACTGCTTAAATTGAATTTGAATTTAAGAATGTTAAAAAAGAGAAGCCAAAAGAGCCATGTTAGTTTTTAGTGACTTACAGGATGGTCTGGTCTACACTGTTCATTGCCAGGCTATAAAATTTTCAATATAAAATTAAATCATAAAACCGCAGGTCAACATTATATAGACTGGTCAGGGTCAGATAGTTTATCACCATTGCCACTATTTAGTGCTGTATGTAGGGTTAATACAGTTATCAAAACCTATGGTACATATTCTGTATTAAAGCAAGGGTTGGCCAATGCCTTTGACCTTTAACCTTTTCTTGTAGTTATTCTCTGTATATGGCAAGTACTCTTTAGGATGTTTCTATTAAGCTCCTTATTTCCTCGCGTTAATCATCCCTATTGAAAAAGACCGCACCTGATCTCAACTGGTCACTTAGTTCTTACATAACTGGCACAAGCCAGATGAATCCACTAAGTTGAATATATACATGTAACTTAGCTGCTGCCATTTTGGAACAAAACCAACTGTTCAGTGGTGTTATAGCTTCTAGAGCTCTGCATCAGTTCATGTTTTGATCCATTCTCAGGATGGTTACATGCTAGCAGCCAGGTTAGTGCAAAGAACAAGGGCATATCTATATAACAGCCCTACTTTAACTCTGATTTTGAACTTTGCTATGCTTCTCCCCTCCTCCTCCCCCCCACCTGGTGGGTTTTGTTTTCAGACCAATATGATACAATATGATAATTATACAAGAAATGAAAGCCCTAATTAAAGAATGCTCAACGAATTCTCACAATTGAAAATTTTGAAGACTCAGGTTTGAGAAAGCCTGTCCTTTAATGGTAATTACAGATAACTGCATGTTGAATAACATATGTATAATTATGCTGTTAAAAAAATCCTTCTCCAGGGTAGACAAATTAGCATGGCAATTTATTGTAAGAGATAATACACTAGCTCTTTTCAGCATTGTCAAGCATAAAGACTCCCTATGGCCGAGTGGTTAACGCTTCAAACTAGTAATCTAATGATCGCTACCCGCATGGGCAAGTCGTTGTTTCCTTGAGCAAGAAACTTTACACTCATTGCTCAGTACTGGTTGGTTCCAGAAACGGAATCGAAAGTGTGTCTATAAGCTTCCTAAACAATCAAACTAAAATAAATTCTGTATAAACCAAAGACTCCCTAGAAAATCAGCAGTCAGGAATGTGCCTGGCAATTTATGTTGTATGTGCAGATGTCTATGTACATTCCTTGAGTAATCCAAGATTTTATTTTTGTTAAAGAACTTGTACCTGGACGCCTACCCCCACTTTTACCTATGGTGCATTATGCTAAAAATGTGTCAACGCTTTCCCCTATGTTACACCAGTTAAAAACACTTGCTACGTCCCTGTCTACTATGAAAATGAAAGGTCTAATTATGATAATTAACATGTGCCATTAACTGCATGTTAATAATGAAGACTTTGAATTGTCACTCTTTTATGCATTTCTGGGTAAAATAAACCTACAAAAGATTGGTTATAATTAGGACCTAACGGTACATGTACCAGATTCCAATAACACATGTAGAAATGCAAATTGATAAATATATTAACAGATTAACTCATAACTGTACAATCAATTAGAAACAAGTTGGCATTAGAAATACGAGTATTGTAGTAAACTTCATTACAATATCACTACTGAATCAGTATGCATGTATCACAACAAGTAAATGATACCAAATATATCACCGTGACAACCTTTCTTACCAAAATCCAAAACTGACATATCCAAATTGGTTCAACTTCAAGTTATATGTGAACCCTGTTCGTTTCAACGAAACACAAACGCTGGACTTTTAATTAGGAAAGTTATAATTGTAAAATTAACACAACTATTAACATTTTTTAGTTAAGAACCACAAAAATAAGTTTTAACAATTGTCTGAACATATTTGACACTTAATAATTCAATTACTCTTCCAATAATTAATTTGGTTGCAAGTGTTAATTTATTTGATGGAATTGGAATCAGCAAATCAAACATGCCCGGACTATCACATTAATTTTCAGCACGTGAAATGGAATGAACACCCCTACTTTTGAAATGGACTATTCTCAAGTCATTGCGGAAGTAGATTTTTCGTGGGTGTACAGTGGCGAAATAGACTTCACAAAGAGCTGTTAGATTTAAACGATAGAAGGTATGTCATATATTCTTCTTTAAAGTGCATAGATAATTTATCATTAAATGCCGAATTGTAAGCGTTTTACCTCGCATATTTTCTGTTAATAGCTGCTATAATTAAGATTAATTATTACCGGTGATGAAGTGAATATCTATTAGGAAAATTTATCCTATTATAGCTATACATGTACATTGATCTCTTTACTGAGATAGTGAAAGTCACTCAATGGATTAATATAAGGTTTCTACTCAGGCATGAAACATTTATTAGACCTTGAACAGTTTAAAACACATTTTAAACAGAATTATAAACAGGTCGATAGTCTAGAAATTTTAAGATTTTTCAATCCATAAATTTACAGATATTCAATGTGGAATTTGCTGTTTATAGTTTTATACTAAAATCCGCAGCTGGAAACAAGTTGTGTTATTGATTGTTTATATTTACAAAGGTAATGGAGTGACTTACATGATTTTGAAATTTTTGTTAAAAGCAAAGATTTTAAATCATCAAATTGTTCTGAATCTTACCATACTGATACATTTAATCATATAATACATAGACTTATTTATTTGAACCTGCAGTTTTGAATTTTAATGCCACTTCTACTATTTTCTTATTTTATGTCTGTAGATTTACAGACAAAAAAATCAATAATATTAATTATGGATAAATGTCTAAAAATTTACAGACTGTCCATAAATATCTTGAAATCCTAGGCCAGATAAATATCACTACTCAGTGGGTATTTTTTTTTGGTCAAAAATGTGAAGGGGCCTGGGCCTGTTCATTTTGTGAAAAAAACACAGTATGTCTTGAAATTATGGGGGGAATAAATTTGCCATTTCGTGACGCTTGATTATAATTTCTGGCCTCTGTAAAATTCGAGTGGATATTTTAACCTGGTAAACATTAGCAAAAAAATGTTTTACTTGATTATTGGCATTTTGTGAAAATCGTGAATTTAGAATATGAAGTCCCTATATTTTGTGAAATCTCTTGAAATTGTGAAGCCCTGGAGAAACATCAGCCCTTGATAAAGAAGGTAAAAATGTCCTGCTCAGAGACATAGATAACATCTATCTACATCTCTGGACTACTGTTGTAAGGGTTGTCATTAAGATGCGGCAGGTGGCCAAAATGACTGTCTCAAATGCATTTTGGGCCGCTTCAAAACTAAGAAAACTATCTTTATGATATGATTGTGATAAATCAAAAATAACTACCTCAAATTCAAAATAAACCCTCATCAAAATATCTTAATGACAACCCTGTGTAGTAGTTTAAATATTGTACAGATCTATATACATTGTATCATTGCTTGTATTAATTATCTTGAAACATTTAATAGTTGCTGGAAATTGGAATGATATTTTCAGTTAATTTGCTGGAATTCATTCATTCATTTATTTTCAGAACCTTGCCAATCTGAACTATGTCTGGATTAAGGAAAGCAAAGAAATATGACTGGAAGGATTCTAATCTGGCTTTGTTTGGATCAGACACAGAAAAAAATATCAAAAGTGAGGCTCAGTATTTTTCTTATATATCATAGAGCAATTTTTACCTTTTAGTTTTAAACTCTACAAAATTGTTTTTTAAAAAGGCAAAATTTTACACTGTCAAATTGTTTGATCAATAAGCTTTTTTTTCAAAAGTAGACCAATTTCTGTGTTTATAATTAGAAAAGAATATTAAGTATATAATTATGGACCCAATGAGTATTTTTTCATAAATGTTTAGATTTAATATTCTGTTCTGTACTTAATAATAGTCAATAGGCATTAAGGCAATTATAGCCCAGGAATTACCAAACTTTTATGGTATAGTAGGTTTTATTTCCCGCAATAATTTGAGTAATCTTTGTATCTTTAAACCAAGATATATTCTTCTTTTTTGGTCTCTTCTTATAAACATAATTTTCTATGATATATTGTGCAGCAATCGATTACCAAGTGCAAAATTGTTCCAATTGTGTGTATAATTTAATCCAATATTTACAAAATAAAATGTTACATTGAATGGCGTAAAATAACAGTGCGGTAAACATTGCAAATAATTTACTTAGATGCTTTTTCGTCTGATGAGACATTAAATTAATCATCTAGTTCCATAATATTATAAATGTATGAGCCTGTGTTGAATATTTATCTTTTGATGGCATTTTCTTTAAAAAGCGCTCCAACTACAATGAGTGGGATAGTAGTAGCTTTAATGTTGTTGATTTCAGAGGAATCTGCTGCCACAGAGCCTGCATGGCAGAAAGCAGGTCAGGAAGTTGGCATTCAGATCTGGAGAATTGTGGTAAGTTTATATACACTTTATTGTTGAATATACATGTAGCTGTGTGACAATTATCATTGTGTATCTTAAAGTTGGGCAATTCTTCTTGACCCAGTATTATTACATTAAAGCTTGGTTTTACATGCAACATCATATCTTGTGGATCACTGAAGTTATTCACTGGAAACTTCACAGTGTTGTTGTAGGTTATTTTCTAAGACCTATAACTCATGTGATACTGGATACTTATAGAGTTATAGCCCTTGATGCTGATTTATTTATACTTAACAATAGGGAACTTCTCTCTATTATTTACAAAAAAAAATAAGATAAAGCAGGAACAACTTACAGAATGATGTAAATCATCTTTTTTATTTTTTTTTTTTTTTTTATTGTCAGTGGATAGTAATTTTGTACCTGAAAACTAAAAATGTAGATTTAGCATATTTTTCAATGGTTAATCCTCAGTTTTTGTATAGAGTTTACAGATTTAACAATAGGGAATTATGAAAGGAATGCTATTAATGTATAAAAATATTTTCATAAGATACATAATGTGTCCTCTTGATCTGTTCAGGTCACAACAGGGGCAGTCATTTGTGAAATAGTTTATTAGGTTTAAACATTTTCTTTGCAATATTTTATTCTCACATAATTTTTTATTTTTTTTGCTAGTAGCATTTTAAACATCTGTACACATACTTGTAATCGACTTGATTGCCCTACTTTGAATGCAGTAGTATTCATTGTTGTTTTAACCTTTACCACCCTAAATATCTTAAATGGACTTGTCCATCTTACTTTAGACATAGCCATTCATCATGTTTTAGTGAAAATTTTGAAAATTAATGACTGAATAGTGAACTGTGCAGACCATGATCAGATGGCATAGATGTGCTGTGCTGGCTGAGCTTGGCCTGCACTGATGGCATGGGTAATCAGCAAGCCAGGTGAGAAATGGATGTTTGTTGTATTTCCCATCCTATTCTTCTTTCATTCTGACATATAAGTTATTCTACTTTTTGCTAATCGCTTTATAAACTTTACATCCATAAACAAAGTTTTCATTATTATCGTATCATTGGTCAAAATGCTTTTTAAGTTAATTTTATTTTAGTCTTAAGATTAAAATACATTGTATCCCCCTTGACCCTTGGGCAAATCAAATGTTTTCTTTGACACATCAGTGTTGCCTCAGATAAAAATGAAAACCCTGCATAAATCTGTATAGTGGACTTTTTCTACTTTGGAATGCAGAAATATCCATTCTTGATTTTAGGGATGAATCATGTCCATATACAAATATTTAAGTAATGTAAGTTGACAACAATTATCGTAGGGTCAATGTACAGGTTGACCTGAGTCAGTATTGTTGGCCATGTTGGGCAGGACAAGTTAACAATTTGCTACTAGCATACAGAGGTTAAATATCATGTCATCTAATATACTGTGTTATAAATCACTATGTAGTTAGTCTATATATCCAAAACACTAAAAACATGTGCTTTAATTATACACATTGACATACCGTTATGATGTAAATATCTTTTTCCTGAAATATACATGTGTTGAGAGTCCATTAACTGGTTCATTAGTGGTTATTTTGATGAGAGATATTTCATATAAAAAAGTAAGAAACGTTGCTTTTGAAGTTATTTCTGGTTGTTAAAAGAAACTACAAAGAATTTTAATATTATACAACGTATCATATCAACTTCCTACAGTACTTAACCTCTGTGCCTGCAGCTGCATTCAAACAGCAAAAATTAATGTTTCCACAAGTATTTTGTACATTATATTAATCATAATTGTTGTACAAAACATGTTTATTAGGCTTTTATTAAAAAAACAAAAACATTAATGTTAGAGAATATTTTATGATGCGATATTGACTGCTAGCAATAATTTTGACTTTCCTGATCTACCACATGTGTGTTTGGTTATACAGAATTTACTTTAGTTTCATTGTTTAGGAAGCTATAAGCTTACTATAAGACATATTCCAAATCCGTTCCTGGAACCTGGTGAACCAAAACCAATGAGTGTGGAAGCAACAATTTGCCTCTGATGGGGTTTGAACCCATGCAGCTTGCGATTATTAGATTACTTAGTCCCACTTGGTCATGTTGTGTTTTTTCCACGTTTTAGGGAACTTAAAGGTCAAAAGCACCAAATTATGAATTCTTGCAGACTTGGTTATAGTTTGAGAGAGCTATTGTTTGGATAAAAACAGTCACACCTACAGCCAAATTACAAATTGCATTTGAAAAGTTTTTAGACATCATTTTGGGGAAGAAAAACATTGGGAGTAGCTCTGTTAACCAGACATTTTAAAGAAATATACAGCCAGTATAAACATGTAGTCATGTTTGTGTGGCAATCTGTTTAGGCTTAACTTTTGTGTGTAGAACTTTTAAGGCACTAAAATGATTAAACCCATTCAACTAATAATTCATGGTTCAGACCACCAAATTAGCTTGATTAGGATTAAGAGCATTTGGTCCCTGGTTTGATCCCTGGGCACGTCTGTTCGGATATTGAGTCTTATGTTCATTTGTCTCTCACCGGTGATTTTAGAAATCAAGTGGGATAAGTAGTTGGTCACTTGCGGAGAAATTGGAAGTTACAAGACAGTTGTCCACAATAAGCTAGTTTAAGGTTGATCTACTACCTAGATTTGTCCACATTTAACCGGTTGAATGTTGGTCAACTGTCAAGATTTATCCACAATTAGCCGGTATTTAAGGTTGATGGACTGCTGGGATTTGACCAAAACTGTGTTAAAATCTGCATGAAAACAAACAAACAAACATTTATGCTTAATTTAATGTCAAAGTGAATAATTCACATACATGTGTATTCTGTTTTATTAAACAACAATGAATTGTGGTATGCATATAAACATGTTTTAATATTGATTCATATAAAGTGCAATTTAATATCAATGAAAGCTGTGATGTTACATTTATATTATTGATTATGAACATAATTATAGCTTTGGAATGCCGAGAAAATGACACCTGACATAATATAAATGTAGAAGTAAAGCAGAAAGATATGTAATGATTAAGTTCATATAAGTTTTTTTTGCAATTTTTCATCATGTCTATCAGTATCATAAAAAATACCTATATACATTAAGTACATGTATAGTAAATTATTTTCTCGCCACTAAATTTTATAGACTTTTTACATGTATATGTATATGACAGCTGCTATAATTCTAAGACAGTCTAAAAGTGTGATAATATAATTATATATACGATACAGTAGAAAATGATTGCTCATTAATTATTTCCATAGAATAACTGCTTGTTTACTTTGTTTACATTTATAAAAGTGTGATAATATAATTATATATACGATACAGTAGAAAATGATTGCTCATTAATTATTTCCATAGAATAACTGCTTGTTTACTTTGTTTACATTTATAAATAATCCCAAGTATTTGTCCTGTAAATCTGTTATCTGTTGTATTGGGTGATAATTGTCACTTAATGGTCATTCAATAGTATAAGCAGTCATAAATAAGAGTACTAATGTGTTTAAACCAATTCAAATAAAACTGCTTGTCAAATTAAAACCTGTAAGTTGTTGCTGTGCTGTTTCTCCTTATTTATTGTCCTGTACTTTAGAGTATTTAGATGATGTACAATAAATGATATTGTTTATTTCAGAACTTTAAAGTGACACAATGGCCAAAAGAGGACTATGGAAAATTCTACAATGGTGATTCTTACATCATTCTGAATGTAAGTTTTGTAGTTGCTTAAAATCATTTAAGCCACGTCACAACAAAACCAACATAGTGGGTTTGCGACCAGCATCGATCCGCGCAGTCTGATCAGGATCCATGCTGTTCGCTTACCATCTTTATTACAAGTGGAGAAACTGATAGTGAACAGCATGGATCCTGATCAGACTGCGCGAATGCATGGGCTGGTCTGGATCCATGCTCAGGTCGCAAACGCATTACGTTGGTTTTGTCATGGTGCGGCTCATTTGTTTGTTTGTTTTTCCATAAAAATAAAATCCATTTTGATAGACCTAAATATGGTACTTTAAAGGCCCATTATGCGTCAGAAATGCTTTTATTTACGTTTCTCAAAAGCATTTTATTTTTGGTTTCCAAAAATTACTTGTAGTCTTTTGCAATTACTTGAACCATTCTTTTTTCAACTGCTGCTTTTTGGCAGTTTGAACAATTTTAGTGATTTAGTATTTTGTATGAAAGTTTCTTAAACATTTTGCTACTTTTATGACACATTATTTTATATTCATTGTTACTTTCTTCAGGTTACAAGCATCTGTCTTGTTCTAAAATCATTATTTAAATGTTACAAGATTTAATTTTTGCCCTTTGTAAAGAAGTAAAAAGGCTGTTACTCAAGACAACCTGGGCAATACAAAGAATATGACACCCCTGGTACAGTATATTTTATTATGTGGCGCACACTCACTTAATTGGGGAAAGACCATAGCCTCTTGATTTTCTAGCTTTTAAAGAAAATTTTGATTGGAAAGAGCCTGAAGCTTTTAATATAGACCTCTGTTATATAAGTTGAAAAAATCACTGACACATACTAGTTTGTATTGAAGTAAAGTTTCATGTTATGAAAAAATAATTTCACACCCATTTGTGACCAACACTAGGATATTTGAAGTTTATTTTCATCGTCCTAAAAATGACACTGGTACTGGTTTGTTCAGGAAGTGTACAAGTCATACTTACAAATAATTGACATAATCTAATAGGTTGAGCTCCTGTTATAATCAAACTGATTAAAATTAATCAAGTAGGATATCCTTCTTACACTTTGATGGCTATTCAATCTGTAAATATTTTCACATTCCTATATTATCAATCAAAAAATCAAAATGAGGGCAATTAGACTACTTCCGGATCAACTCTGTTGGCTATAAATTTTGAGTTTTCATATGTAAATCAGCAACATATCAGCTCCCAATTGTTTAAACATTTTGATTTTAAAAACTATATGCTGAGCACTGTCTGGTTAGCTCAATAGGTAGGGCATTGGACTGTAAATCAGGTGATCTGGGTTTGATTTTTGGATGGTGTAGGTCACTTATGATGTGATTGATCATGAAATCCTTTCTACGGTCATTCACACTGTACCTCTGCTCTGGCATGTACAGAAGTTATAAGTTCCTTGTGAAAGTGAAAGCAACTAGTACAACCTTTGACAACCTGCTCTTAGGAACAATGCAGTAGCTGAAATGTGCTCTGTTAAATTAGAAGTGGCTAACTGCCATGATCCGGAGTAAAAACTACCAACAGTCCACCGCCACTGAGCTACATACTGATTGCTGAGACACTTTTCTGGGTCAGAATCACACTTATAGAGAGGATATATTGCCAATACATAAAATAGCATAATATCTCAACTTGGTTGTACAAGTGGATAGAATTGTTGACTTCCATGAACAGAGCAATCAAACATGGTCTGCATGTTTGGCAATTGGTGCATTATAGGTGTAACTCGTATGGCATAATGAATGAAAATACACATGTTTTACAGCAAACCCTTGATATTTAGTGTATTTCTATTGCTGTTCATGAACTTCCTTATTACAGATTTAAACAACTTTTGCTAGCGACAAATGTTTTGTTTGTGAAACTACTTGTGTTTTTATTTTTGGAAAGCACTATTACCTTTATAAACTGCCTGCAATAAATTTTCAACAGTATTTGACATGTGGTGTAAAGATTGATTTGTCACTTGAGATAGTTTGTGGTTAAGGTTGTAAAATATAAGATACCAAGGAAGAAGATAATCTCTGATTTGTTTAGATAACATTAAAACTGTCCCGTGAACATTCTTTGTTTACATTTTCTATATTTTCTCACAGTTTGTTTGACACTCACTCCTGTTTAAATCTGATATAGTATTTGTCAAATTGTAAAGAATTACAAAATAATATATATTACTTTGTATGTTTGAGTGTTGAACTTACTGTGTGTCTCTTATGTATACAAGCTAAATTCTTGTGTGAAGGTTTATAATTTTATTATTTTGTAAAATCATTTTCAGGAGAAACAAAAATATCATTCTTTTTAAATTATTTTTTCCTCACCAGAGTCAGACAAGTGCTCGAGGTGAGCTATTAATTGTGATACCCTGTCGTCCATTCTTGGTTTTCCGTCATTGATATTTTTACTTTAAAACAACATTACCATCTAAATTTCTTGCCTGGCTTATAGTGATGAAACTATACAGGAATGATCCAGATAAACTGCTTAAATGGTTCTGGTCCAGATAACCTACAAAGTTAGAAAAAGAAAAAAACATTAAACAACTTCTCCTCCACTACAGTCAAAACTGTCTTATGTGACCCTACAGGGGACTTTCTTAAGAAGGTCACATAAGACAGGGAGTCTCTTAATACAGGTTTACAGTAAAACATCCAAACACTATTAAAAAGTTAAATAATACTAATACAGCATATACATTTAGTGTTAAAACATTTATTTATGATAAGAGCAGTAAAACTGTGTACAGTGTTAAAATTGTATACATGTAAAATGCTATTGAATATTTGATTGTAAAATTGATTATTAAAAATTAATGTTTATATATTTGATAAAATTATTAAAATGTCAGAATTAAATTGTTTCTTTACCGTGTTAAAAATTTATACATGTACAATGTTATTGATTTTTAAAATTCATGATTATGAAACTAATAAAATAATGTCAGAATCACATTGTGTCTTTCATTTAAGTTGTCCTATTGAAAAAAATCACTTATTTTTGACTGTTTATTTTTGCTTGCAACTAGACTTGAAAATTCATCCTCTAGTTTTGACAAATGGTACATTATACTGGCATGTCCATGATGCAATGCATAAGATTTCAGTTGTAACACCATTTCATTTGCTTGGGTCAGTGATGGAGCATTTAGCATGACAGACCCTTGAGCGTCATACATCTCTTCAATTTCATCTTCACTGTCATCAGAATTTAAGTTAAGTCATTGATTTTCTCGTCACCAGTTGCATGTCTCCAACGTTTAGAATTCAATGGAACATTATTTTTAAAGTCCGAAATTACTTCCAATTTACGTTAACAAAGGTTTTGGATTTGTGTTTTTCCAACACAAAGTTCTTATGCCACTTTATACGCCGATATTCCTTTATCCAATTTTTGTAAGGCTTAATATTTCTGTGGAAGATCTAAAACAATACGTGTTTTCTTTCTTTCCGACATTTTTTTCAATGAAACAGGAAGTAGTAACAGAGTTATCTTTCATAACATAGTCGCTAAAAACAGTGCTTAGCCCGTTCCGGACCGTTCAAATCAGGGTCGCTAGTCACGTAACACAGTGAGTCGTTTAATACAGTGCAACTTTATAGCCTAAATCGTTGGGCGGACCTAAATAGGGTCACATAAGACAGGAAGTTGCTGAATACAGTGGGTCACTATGGCAGTTTTGACTGTACTTGGTAGATCTTCATGAAACTGTACAGTAATGATCATTAGAAAGTACAAAAAATACTCTGAAAATATTCTGGTAGTTAAATCTCTTCCATGTAGACTGTATAATCTGGCCGTGAAGGCACTCTTGTTTATTGATACTACACCAAGATGTCATTGTCACTGTTTGAGAAAAATTGTTATTGACTTTATTATCTGGAAGGATATAAATATAAAGGAAAATATAATTTTGAATTGGCATTTTGTAATACATTAACAGTTTAGGATTATATTAATCATTTAGTCAAGGAAAGTGCTGTACTTAAATGTATCTTATATAAAATGGCAACAAATGTAATATTCTTTATCTCATTTTATTATGCAAGGAAATAGACAAATCATTAGTTCCTATGTTAAATAAGTGCTAAAAGATAAAGAAAGGGAAAAATAATATTGAAAACAAGCAACTTCATGTTATAAAATTTGATTGTGTGGATTTTGAAATAAATTATTTATTATTAAGTTTCAGTAAAACCCCAGTCACACTAGAGCTTAAGATTACTTGCGACCACCGGCGACTTGTAAAACTGACGATCATCAGCGATTGTCTGCGACCAAAACCATTTTTGCACGTATAAATTTACTTCTGCGACCATCGTAAGACCAGTCATCATTGACAATCGCACGACAGGTCATAAGCAAACGTACGATGGTCTCAAGATTGTGTGGGATTACTTACGACTACCCGTGACCTGTCATGCGATCACCTACAACTAGTCGTACGACCATCACACGATTACTAAAGACTACTCAAGATTATCAGTGACTAGTGGCAATTTGTAAAGACTGTCGTAAGATTGTCGCACTTCTGAACGACCATCGTGCGACAGCCTAAGACATTATAAGATCACTAGCGACCTGTTTGATCGCAAGGAGGTTTTTGTGCAAGCTCAAAAACCTCTCTACGACTGAAATTGGTCGTGGGACCTAAATAAGATAACCTGCGACTGTCAAAGATCACCGATGACCGTCGTAAGACGTTTCAAAGATTGTCCGCGACCAGAGGTCACTGGTGATCGTGAACTGGTCTTCACTGGTCGTAAGCTCTAGTGTGACTGGGGCTTAAGTTACACCCCTAACTATCAATTGTCCTAAACAATGTATGTGGTTTTCATCATTTGGATTCATGTGAAATACATATGATAAGTATTAATCATATCAAATCAGGCCTGCTGGCCGTTACTTAATCAACCCATGTGACCTGCAGTGTAGACTAAGATCATTGTTTGCACTGTTTCCTATTAAGCCTTTTGAAATTTTCCATTAAAGGAACTCCACTGAGGTTTAAAAGCCTAAAAACATAAAATTTTGATTTCTTACATTAAGATCAGCTGGGGCACTTTAAGAGATACGGTATAAAAATTACTCAAAAATAAATACTCAAAAATATATTGAAAGTCATATTTTTGTGCTTTTCACAGCTAGAATCAAAATTTAATGAAAAGCGTTTTAATTTTTGGTTATTTCCCCAATTAGAATAACTATTCTGAAAAATCATAGTGAGTGTATGATCTGAAATTTTGCGCACAACTTGTTGGTCCTGACCCACATTAAATGGAACATTAATCTCAAAAGATTATTTCGACTCCTTCCATGTCAAAAAATCTCAGTGGAGTCCCTTTAAAATGATGACAGGTCTTGTCAAAATTGGGAGATTGAAACTTTAAACATCATAAGGATGATATTATCACACGAATCTTGCAAATACTTGACTTGACCACTTACATACCAGGATAATTTATGAACAGAACTATCCATTCAATCAGTTTACAAGCTGATTTTAAAAAGATAACAAATGTATAAAGTTTGCATCCTGAGTTCAGTGACTTTCTGTTATACATATTTTTTTTACTTTTATTTAATTTCACTTTGCCATCTATTAATGCCTTGTTTCACCTTTTATAATTTTGTGTCCTGTTCTTAAAACATCCTGTTTCCTCAATTCTTAATGATTTATAACAATCGTCTGGGTGCTATCTGTGTATAAAGCCTTATGATTTCAAATAAAGTGATAATTACTCTCCTAACATTTTGTTTTCTCCACTTTGGATGCTTTGATATAATTTATCTTCCTGGTAAATTAAGAGTCCTGCTTCAATTTTAATATATGGAGTCAATTTTAACACCATCTCCATAAATGACGTAATCAGTTCTTAAAATTATATCAATTCTTTTCATGTCATTATTCCACACCTAATGTCAGACTTTTTTACAAGTTTTCATATCTTGCATTCCCTTCTATTTCATGAGTCAGGTTTTAAACTCTGTTTGTTCTGTCCATGCCATATTTTTATAAGATGACATGTTGTTCATTCCATGGCATATTTTTGTTAAAACCAGATGACATGTTTTGTTCTGTCCTTGGCATATTTTTGTAAAAACCATGAGATGAAATGTTGCCATATTTGTTAAATTTGTTCTGTCCATGCCATATTTGTTAAAACCAGATGACATGTTGTTCTGTCCATGCCATATCATCAAATTGTTAAAACCAGATGACATATTTGTTCCGTCCATGCCATATTTGTTAAAACCAGATGACATGTTTGTTCTGTCCATGCCATATTTGTTAAAACCAGCTGACATGTTGTTCGGTCCATGCCATATTTGTAAAAACCAGATGAAATGTTGTTCCGTCCATGCCATATTTGTTAAAACCAGATGACATGTTGTTCTGTCCATGCCATATCATCAAATTGTTAAAACCAGATGACATGTTGTTCCGTCCATGCCATATTTGTTAAAACCAGATGACATGTTTGTTCTGTCCATGCCATATTTGTTAAAACCAGCTGACATGTTGTTCGGTCCATGCCATATTTGTAAAAACCAGATGAAATGTTGTTCCGTCCATGCCATATTTGTTAAAACCAGATGACATGTTGTTCCGTCCATGCCATATTTGTTAAAACCAGATGACATGTTGTTCCGTCCATGCCATATTTGTTAAAACCAGATGAAATGTTGTTCCGTCCATGCCATATTTGTTAAGTAAGTAAGTTAAAGTAAGTAAGTAAGTAAGTAACGACTTTATTTTATGAGGCTAACACATTCAGTTTCCCGATCTTCCATGCGGGCCTCAGTATATACAAAACAACATAAAATACAATCACAATCAACATTTAGACATAACATAAATATGTACATTATACATCATATCAATACAATAAATAAGTAAACAATTTTTTCTTCTTACATAGAGAAGTGACATTTTCATAACTTCAGCATGGAAAGTATATGTTTTTGAAAAATATGTACAAACAATTAGTTAGAAAAATTGCCACTGGATATCAGGAGATTGAAATTTCCTCAGGGTATCAGAATTTCGAATATGGATTGGTATGCTGTTCCATACCACAGACCAGAGTAATTAAATGATTTTCTAAAAAAATTCTGTTTTTGGTTTGGGTACAGTTAGTTTTTCATTTTGTATAGATCTTAAGTTAAAATCATGTTTGTCATTTATTGTTTGGAATTTATTTTTCATATAAATAGGAAAGGATGGTTCATTTATAGATTTATACATGAGGATTGCCTTTTTGTACATAATTCTTTGATCAAAGGACATCCAATTTAATTCTTTAAATAGAATATTTGATTGGGTATCAAAACTTTTGTCTAAAATAATTCTTGCAGCTCTTTTTTGAAAGTTGACAATTTGCGAAAGTAATTCACTACTGCAGTTTCCCCAAATAGTGCAACAGTAGTCAATATGTGGCAAAAATAAATTATAAGCATTAAAAAAGAGTTTTCTGGAGTGGAGATCAAGGTACTGTTTGATTCTAAGAAGCAAATAGAGCTGTGAATTGCATTTTTTTATAATATTTTGAATCTGTGTTTTCCATTTAAGATTTTTGTCAACCTGGACTTCCTAGCAGTTTTTCAGTGTCTGTAAATTCTATCTCTTTGTTTTGAAGGTGCAGAGTAGATGAAGCAGTATTTTTTTATTTAGTATTTTTTAAAGAGAAATTTATGGCCTTAGTTTTTTGTGCATTTAAAACCAGATGACATGTTTGTTATGTCCATGCCATATTTGTTAAAACCAGATGACAATTGTTTTGTTCTGTCCTTGCCATATTTGTTAAAACCAGATGAAATGTTGTTCTGTCCTTGCCATATTTGTTAAAACCAGATGAAATGTTGTTCTGTCCATGCCATATTTGTTTAAACCAGATAACATGTTTCTGTTCATGCCATATTTGTTTAAACCAGATGACATGTTTATTCTGTCCATGTCATATTTGTTAAAACCAGATGACATGGTTTTTTATTCTGTCCAAGGTGTTACAGTGCATCATAATGCACACATTACAAATGATAAAGTGTATTATTTTTCTTCCAGACCTATAAAGAAGATGATGAGGAAGAGCTACAATATGATGTCCATTTCTGGATTGGTTCACAAAGTACACAGGTCAGTTTAAGAATTATATTCAGGGGAGAATAATACATTGATTATTATATTTAGATATATGTTGATTAAAAGTGCATTTACAATCAAACATACTCCAAGAGAACCTTGTTACTTTTATTGTTATTTAATATGTACAAGGAAAATACTTCCATTTTTGTGGCTTTTATAAAATATATACTAAATTGCATCTTACCTTTGTTTGCCTCATAAACCTGCTGAATTTCCCCCAATAGATTTGTCCTGCTTACATATTATTGGTTATCGGGATATCAAGATGAAAATATAAAGGTTGTTAGTCGACAACAGTATAGAGCATTGTCATGCTCCATGGAGGCGCAGGTTGGCCTGGCATTATACTTGTGGCAAAGGCTTATCCCGTCCAGTTTCAGCAGGGTACATGTAAGGGTTAAGTATAGGTCTTTGCATGTCTTAATATTTGATATAGTGTCATTGAACGTGGAAGGAATGAAATTAAGTAACTTTATGCCACAGGAGTTTAAGAATAAGATAATCTATTTCATAATTTGTAAAAGAGTTTTTGCCCTTGTCTGACAAACTATCTTGAGGTTTGTGAAATGTAAATGAAATTTTATAACAGGATGAGTATGGTACAGCAGCATACAAGACCGTGGAGCTGGACACATTCCTCAATGACAAACCTGTCCAGCACAGGGAGGTACAGGGGTTCGAATCTGACATGTTCAAGAGCTATTTCAAGACCATCACGTAAATATTTCTTTGTTATATCTAACCAGTTTATGTAAGAATATTCATGAATAATTTAACAGTATTTTGACTTCGAAAGCATTTTATGTAGTCTAAAAACATTTGTTGTGGCTTTCACTCCAGTTCATTTATATTATTGACTCATTTTGTTTTCTTTTTGCATATCTTGTACTTGAACTTATAAAGGAGTTGCCCAACCTTTCCATCGATCTTTACTGAAGAAGATATCTGACATAGTATTTTCATTATTTCAAACATAATGAATTAATTCATATGCTCAAGGTTCTACATATATCCAGGTACCTATAGAATGTTTGTAACATGCAGTAGTGAAGAACAATTGTATAAAAGGTAGGCATGACTACAACCCACAACACCTCTTCCCCCAACCACCCTCCAATAATTCAAGATATAAACAAAATGCATGAAAATAACTTTCAACTTTTTTGGTCACATCAATTTCCAGAATAATGAAAGGCGGTGCCGATACGGGATTCAGGAAGGTTAAACCAGAGGAGTACACTCCTCGCCTTCTCCACTTCTCAGGAACCAGAAAGAATGTAGAAGTAAGGGAGGTAACCCGTAACAAAAAGAGCCTGAACTCTGGTGACGTGTTTATCTTAGATCATGGACTTAAGATTTATCAATGGAATGGTAGTGGCAGTAATAAGGATGAGAGGATGAAGGTATGTAAATTCCTCTACCATACCATACCAATTTCTTTCATTAATTGTTTAAATGCAAATGTGTACCAAATAAACTGATTTTGTAACTTTTTAAAGGCAAATAACATAAAATTAAGGTAAAAATGTATAATGTTGTTTACAGGTATTTTACCTTGCAATATTTTAGTTTGGAAATAGATCAAATTAACTTTCAGAAACAGATTTTCTGCATATTGTCCTTGTTCCTTGATATTAAGTAAAATATGATCATCCCGGGAGTCCTTATAGTCACGAAGAAGTGAATGTATAGTATAGTTAAGTTGTTTGTTTTAGCAGGTTATATGGCTGAGGTTTAACTTTTGTAAGGTTTTATAATACTGCATATTTGTAACGTCGCTTTTCATTGGCTAATCGTGACATTTACATAGTTTTGTATAACTGGCTGCTGTCAATTTATAAAAATATTTTTTTTTGTCTCTAAAGAGGAAGTAAATTCGTTATAAATATTCTTGACAGGTTAATGGCAATATATAAATGGTTGTTTGAAATATAACCTTTGAGATATATACAAAGATATTTTTATATAGGGCCATATAACCTGTCAAAAAATCTTTATATCTTATAATGTAACCCTTACTGTTATGTTGCAAATAAATATTTATACAAACATATAACTATGTAACCAGTTAAAAATCCTTAAAACAATTAAATTTATAAATTACAACAATATTCTTTTATTTGAGGAAAAACTGATATTACAGCAGCATTGTATGTTATGATTGTTCATTGAAAACCAATGTGACAGATGTATAAGTGGTTTAGATCGTTAACTTCAAACCATTTGCCTCTCACCGCTATAGGTTCGAGCCACGCAAACATCTTCATATTCTTTCATGTTAGAAAGCTATCCAGCTTCCAGAATGTTAGTGGTACTACTCAGGTGCCCGTTTGTGCCTGAAATAACCCACAGAGAGGCATCTGAGGTCTTCCTCACCCAGTAAAGCTAGAAAATGGCCATATTATGACCTATACTGTGTTGATGCAACATAAAACCCAATAACAACAAAAACAAAACAAAACTAAAAAAAAACAAATGTTCAGTATTATGAAACTGAAAAACATGTTGTATGGGGTATATAAAGTTTATAATGACTTTTTCAGGCAATGCAGTTCTTGATTCAGTTGAAAAGTGAAAGAAATGGAAGACCAAACACTGAGACCCTTGATGAGGGTAGTACTGAACCTGGGGTAAATGATTGCTTTCTTTCTCTACAATGTTTATCTGAGGTTATGGTATTTACATGAGACACTCTAAAGGGTCTCCGCAGCGGTTTATTGACATGACATGCATTTCTTTTTTCACAATTTTTTTACCATGCAGGTCTGGAGGAATAATTTAATTGTGTGAAAATTTTCAAATCATTTGTTCATTCCATGTTCTACAATAATCGTTTTGATAAAAAAATTAACTCAAATTGGGCTGAGAAACACGTTAAAAAAAGAATGTTTGAGTGAATTTATTATCTTTTCACAAGTTTATCTATTCTTATATACAAACATGTATCTTATATTATTGTTTCTTGTCTAATTGTATACTACATGTGATTACAAATGAAATGACATTGTTAGCATCACAGTAATGTTATTACGAGAACAAGCATCAAATTACCGTTGTGAGGAGAACAATAAAAAAAAAAAAAAAAAAAAAAAATCCTCCTATAACTTAAATTAAAAGGAAGTCACAATGATTGATGTACAGACAAGTAATACTATAGTATTGCTATAAAAAATATAGCTATTTTTTCTGTACATTTATGGTCATAGAATTTAAAATGTCCACATTTTATATTTAAGACTTTGGTTTTTATAGTAATTTTGATGATTACAGCATGACTTCTTCAAGAGCTTGGATGAGGAAGATGATGGAGATGACGATGTTAGCGGTTTTGTTGCACAGGATGACCAGAAGGAACTGTACCGTCTCTCCGATGCTAGCGGTCAACTGAATTATAAACTGGAGAAGAAGGGTGATGTGTCAATGGGTGACTTTGATACCAAGGTGCACGTATATTAATGTATATTTTCTGATTGTGTTAAATTAGCTTCGTGTAACTACTGGATTAGTACATATTACCCTTTACCACATGGATACATGTTTTAACATATGTGCTACAAGTGCAGAAACCAGATCAACCTGCCCCTCCATCCAGTCTGATCAGGATCTCCACTGTTCGATTTTCAGTCAGAAATTCTGTTATGAATTTAAAGTGAACAGTGGAGATCCTGATCAGACTGCATGGATGTGCAGAATGATCTGGATCTGCACTGGTCGCACATATGTTAAAGCCCTTGGGATATTTCAGAGACACTTTCAGTGTTTCCCACCTAACTAGAGGTGTACTGGTAAGAAATCCAGGTAATCCTAGCATGTACCAGTGCTATACACGTATACGGGTTTTGAAAATTTGAATTTCAATCTTCGATCTGGCTAGAAGTTCAACACCAGCTCGAAATTCGGGTTTTGGAAATTTTGAATTTCGATCTTTGAACTGGCTCGAAATTCAACTCCAGCTCGAAATTTGGGATTTTAAAATTTTGAATATAGATCTTCGAGCTGGCTCGAAATTAAACTTTAGTTCGAAATAAGGCTTTTGTAAATTTTGAATTAAGATCTTCGAGCTGGCTCGAAATTCAACTCCAGCTCGAAATTTTCTGCGTAGAAATCGTAGAACCAAGGGATCTTTTCAGTAAGAGCTAGGGACTGGTTCCCGGATTCCCTTGCATCTCATAGCTGTCTCTGAAGTGATTAGTCTAGAATCATGTCTACGTCCCCGCAAGGTGTTTGACATTAATGGAAGATAGATAGATAAGGTTTAGTTTACTTTTGCATACTATTTCATGTTTGAATCAATTCCTTTTGTATTTCCATTCTATAAGTTTACTCTTTCAGACAGTTTTGTATTAAACCAATTACCCATTATATCATTTTATATATTTAAGGATGTTTTTCTCTTGGACACAAAGAAGTCATTGTTTGTTTGGATAGGAAAAGGAGCCAGTGAAGCAGAAAGAAGAAATGCAATGGGTTATGCACACGTAAGTTCTTGATTGATGATGATAGATTTAACAGTTACATATTTAAATGTTTGATTCTTTATTTTATTATACTTTATTATATTATTCAGTTATTGTTTGATAATGAGGTAAATATCCAAGTCTATGGACCTGGCTAATGTGATATTTGGATATGTATCAAAATTTAAATGCCATAACTGTTTTATTACAATGTATTTGGGCAGAATAATAGCACCCAAATTCAGAATTCCAATATAGATTTTTTATATGCTCAAATGAGGTCTTGGTAAATTTTCAAAGTTGTCTGTTAATTCTTTTTCACACAAATATGTAAGACTTTAACAGACAGCAAACATAACACAGAAATTTTGTCAAAAGACAAATATGAAAAGCAGGCAACATATCCTAAGGGTGATTAAACAGTATTCAAGTAGGAATACTGGAACCACCCAAGTTAATAAAATGCCAAATAGAAGAAACTTAAAATACCACATAACATGTATACACAACAATAATGTTGTGCTGAATGATCTAGTCACATTTCAGGCTTTATGACATAGATTGATAATAAGGGAAGAACTCATTTCCCTTTTGTATGATATATTATATTCGATAAATAGATTATGTCACTTTGTGTCATATAAGAGTAGCGACTCTGTGCATGCGCAGTTCGCTCTTAGAAAATAAACAAGCATATTTCTTTCATAAAGACAGTTTGAAAGTATTCTTTTTCAAGTTTTTGACGTTAAAATATTTTCAGGAAATTTATAGCTATTTACACTTAAATGTTTTTTATTTTCATATTTTATTTTTAAAGTTTAAATCCATTAAGTGAACAAAGATCAGTTTGGTTTCCGGTTTATTGTGCAATCAGATCAATCAGATTTTATGGGGGAAAAAAAGTTGTGAAATGTTACTTAACTGTATAACCTTTCTTGTATCATTCCAGAATTTTCTACAGAAAACTAATCATCCCTTGGTACCAGTCTGCTGTTTAGCAGAGGGTGGCAGACAGGATGCCCAGTTTCAGATGGCTATTGCAGCTTAGAAAACCACAAAACTGTAATACATACTGGGGGAGGAAAATAGAATAGCCATTAATAATATTTAATGTAGGGGGGAAAACTGACAATTTTTTTATAATTTTGTATTCCGATATCACAAACTTGTTATAATTCTACGCATTGACATAAGCTGCCATTTGTATTCTTTTTGTTTTGGTTATCTTTTGTTGTTAAGTCTTAATATTGCTATTGTCTTTAGTAATGCTATATTTGTAATTGCTCTAATTCCTGAAGCTGCCATTATTTATTTATTTGATTTTATACATTTGTCCAACAATACTAATTTAGACAAATATTTAGGTACAAAGGATTGAGAAAAAAGAGTAAAGTTTAAGTATATTTAATTGTAGAGTTTGCATCTATAAGCAGAAATTTTTAATGTTGTGGTATTGATAATAATTTTATGTGTGAGATGTATTCTAAATTTACTGGGTTGTTTGGGGGTTTTTTTTATTAGAAATTATTGCTGATAAAAATGCATGAATGGATTTAAGCAGCCCACTTCATCTACTCTAATTTATTAGTATTTTTCGTATTTTTTTTTTCTGCATTTAAATTTTTTTTCTTTGTTTACATATAATGGGACCATGTTACGTTGTACATGTATTGTATTTTACTTATTATGTAAAGTGCACTTATTACTTGAGACCAAAACTTTTTATAATGTGATAATATTCTTGTATGATCATAAATAAATCTTTATGATAAATGAAGTTGCAGTGGAATCTTAAATCACTTTAAAAAAATCAAAACCATGGCTGTTTCAAGATATATATTTCCAATGTTTTTTTTGTGTCGCCTTGAAAAGGAGACATATAGGAGTTACTTTTGTCGGCGGCAGCGGCGTCTGTGTCGGCGTCGTTGTCGGCGTCGGCGTCCGCTAAAGCTTGTCCGGAGCATAACTCAGTCACTATAAGTCTGATTGACTTCAAACTTGGTATGCATGCTTCTTTCAATAACCCGAAGTGCAGTGCACAAGGACCGGTACTCTGCAGTTCTTATTTTTTGAGTTATTGCCCTTTGTTAATTTTCATACTTTAATTTTGTCTGGGCCATTTCTCTTCAACTAAAAAAGCTATGGACTTGAAACTTCATAGGATGATAGATCTCATTAAGAAGAAATGCAGTGCACAAGAACCAGTACTCTGCACTTCCTAATTTTTGAGTTATTGCCTTTTGTTAATTTTCATACTTTATTTTTGTCCGGGCCATTTCTCCTAATGTATAAAAGCGATGGACCTGAAACTTCATAGGATGATAGGTCTCATTAAGAAGAAGTGCAGTGCACAAGAACTGGTACTCTGCATTTCTTATTTTTTGAGTTATTGCCCTTTGTTTATTTTCATACTTAATTTTTGTCCAGGCCATTTCTCTGAAAGTATAAAAATTATGGACTTGAAACTTCATAGGATGATAGATTTCATTAAAAAGAAGTGCAGTGCATAAGAACTGATACTCAGCATTTCTTATTTTTGAGTTATTGCCCTTTGTTGCTTTTCTTACTTTATTTTTGTCCTGGTCATTTTTCCTCAAGTATGAAAGCTATGGACTTGAAACATCATAGAATGATAGATCTTATTGATAAGAAGTGCAGTGTTCAGAAACTGCTGCTCTGCACTTATTATTTTTTTAGTTATTGCCCTTTGTTATTTTTCATATTTCATTTTTGTCCTGGCCATTTCCCCTAAACTACATTGTTCACAAGGCGACACATCCGACTCGCTGGGTTCTAGTTTACATTATTGTTAATGACATTTAACAGTCTTGTCCTATTTAATTATCATCAAAATCAAAAATTAATTCTTCGGCTTGTCGTTTTTTGAACTCTATGACCATTTGTGAAAAAGCAAAACACTTCTGTCGTATTATATTTAAGGGGTTCCTTCATAAAATAGTAAAAGTTTTTCTTTAATATTTGTTTTGAACAAAATTTACAAAATGAGTGTGCTGTTTTGGCTTTCTAGAGAGTTTATAATTGTTATACTTACAGTTTATAGTATACAAGTGTTTCCTCACAAATTTTAACGAAAGAAAAATAAAGCATTATATAAATTTAAATCAAATTAATTGAATCAAAACTAGTGAAATCGACATGACAGTAAAAGTTAAAGATTTTTTGATTTTTGAAAAATGTATGCATAATCTTTTTTCTTATTTTTTGTATACATTTAAACATTTTTGCTTTCAGTTTACACAAAACTCCTGTGATTGTGTAATTTTACAAACTATTTCCACATTTTTATACACATCTAAATCGGGTATTTCAGAATTTCAATTTCATGTTTTTTTATACTTGTTCTTGTGTATCTATTTGTTTACAAACACTTTGTCATTTACTTACTGATGTAATTTTTCTAGTTTGTCTAGTGTCTTCATTACAGCATTTTGATCAAGTATTCTCTGTTTTACAATATATATTTAACTATACTAAGAATCAAATATTTCTATATTTTCTCTTTTATTCGTTGTGTTTATTTTTTGTGTGTTTTTTTTTTGCTAGTTCAGGCATTAAAGCTGCATGCCTCCAGATGAGCCAAAAATTTTCCAAGAAAATTAAACATCGGAAAATGTACTAAGATTTTAAGAAAGTAAACAGATAAAAGATTCTTATGATAATTTATATCTTATGTGCAATTAATGACTGATTTTTGCAGTATTTATCACCATATTTCCACTGCGTTACTAATGCAGTAGGGGTTATTTTTGCATATTTTGACCTCATTTTGGTAATTTACCTGGATTATAAGTGCCGATATGCAATATGTCAATAACTTTCTTTGTTCTGGAGGCATGCTGCTTTAACCTAGTCTTCAATAAGTTTTGTTTATGTTTATACTAAAAAAAAAATCTTGCATTTGATTTTAAGTTTAAATTTCTGTTACATTATTTAAAATTGCTAATGCTTATGTCAAAGCATTTGTTAAAGTTTTGTTTTTTCTATACACTTTTTTTTGTGTACACTAACATTTTTGTACAGCGCAATAATTCTCTAGTGCTATAATGGATTTATACATTTATTCATGATTGTCTCTATATATATATCTACGTTATGTCAGTTTGGGCAAATAAATTATAGCAATAAACTAAATGGTTTACTTGAATTATTAATAAATTCGAGGGTTATATTTTATTTAGTGGCAACATGGTTTTGTACACTGGTTGTAAACATGGCATTGTGATTTGCAAGAAGAGCAAATAGCTTATTGCTAAATTCGTGGGTTATTAGGTAAATGCGTGTCAGAAATAAAAGATAAACGGATATAGATCGATTTAGTTTATGGAGAAAATGCTCTTTCATATCGCACAATTGCAAGGTAGAACTCATGTTAAGGATGATCCCCACCCTTGGACTTACTGACATATCGGGCCTTTGTGCGTCATGTGTTTTCCATCTTGAAAGAAGAGTTAAGGAACGTGTGCGCAAGATGGATCCCGCATTTGCTGGAAAGGGAGGAGGATGAAAAAGCCTCGGCCTTATCGACTAGGTTCAAAGATCGAGACCCTAGACGCCTGAGAGAAATTGTCACAGGGGATGAAAAGTGGCTTTCTTTTTTTTTGAGCCCGACAATAAACTCAGTTTCAAAATGTGGGTAGGTGCAAACAGCGATCGTCCAGTTGTCGCTCGGCGTAGCAGGAGCTTCAAAATAGTTATGCGCGCTCTATTTATTGACAGTGATGAAAAAGTGGCCTGTGTAGCTGTGCCTGAGAGAGGTAGTGTCACTGGAATATTTTACCTTGACCATGTTCTCACTGCTGTAGTTAATAACTACATAACAAAGAACCAAATGTCCGGGGTGCGCAGGATAAAATTACTCATGGTTATGCACCTGCACACAGGTCAGCCTTTGTTCAAGCTTATTTAGAGGAGCAGAGAATTGAGGTTTGGGTACATCCTGCTTATAGTCCTGCCCTCTCTCCTTAAGACCTTTGGTTAAATTCATTATACATAAAATCTTGCCTTCGCGGTCACAGGTTTAAAACATGTAGTGCCTTCGAAAGCGCTGTCTACCAATCTACCAACAGTATACCCAAAGAACAGTTCAAAAATGTTTTTTAGTCCCCTACCGGTTTACCGGAGGGGACTTTAGGTTTACCCTCCGTCTGTCTGTCCATCAGTCCGTCCGTCCACAAAACTGGATCCCACGATAACGCAAAAAGTACTGAAAATTTTTTATGAAACTTGGTATATGGATAGATGGCAGTATGGAGAAAATGTACATCTTTTTCTTTTTTTTTCCTATGTTGAAAATCCTGGTTGCTATGCAACAAATAGACTGAAAAAATGGTAAATTTTACACATAAACTGGATCCAGTGATAAGACAAAAAGTACTGGAAATATTTTTATGAAACTTGAAATATGGGTAGATGGCAGTTTGGAGATTATGCATGTCTGTTTTTTTAACCTATTTTGAGAAAAAAATGGTTGCAATGGCAACAAATGGGGTTAAAAACATGGCAAATATAACAATATTTGTGATTAGTCAAAAAAAAGCTGAAATTTTTTATAAAACTTAAAATATGGATAGATGGTAGTATGGAAATTATACACATCATTTTAATATTGACTATAGGGAGTGTATTGAGCGCTGTCATGCTTAACAATCGTCGGCAATCTCGTCAAGATTTCTTATTCTAGTTTTTAGGCTTTTTCACTATTTATAAGTTTTTTATTTCTTAAGGTATTTATTTCAAACTTCAAACAATTTTCTGGTCATCAACCACATCATATGTGACAAGGTTTTAACTCTAGCACAAAAAATAACAGAATTGCCTCCCTTGAACTTACATGAAATAAAAATGTGTTTTTTTTAATAACTTCTTTATTTCTATTAAATCAAACTTTACTGCGTACATCTCATGTAACTTAATATATTGTGTTCGTTGACCGTATAATCAGTATCTAATTGACAGGTTAATTGTACTATGTCTTCAGTCAACCGATCACACTTAAAATAATTACATTGTACAAATGTATTTCTACTAAAATATTTGAAACATAGGTGCGATAATCGTGGATTTCTTTTCGACATAGTCCATACATACAAGATTGTGCCCCTTGTAATAAAGGCATAGCATTCAAATCTGCGGCTTAAAACCTACTGATTAAGTCTCCGCTTCCATGCTATATTGGACGGAAATATACCTTCACTTATGTATATATTAATAACACCATATCATTCATACTTTTGTAGAATTGCACATATATGAGGAATAAATCCACAAGGATTTAAGGTAACAAACAAGGCGACTGTTGAAAATATGTTTAGCAAGGAATGCATCAGAAAGTCTACATAATTGTCCAAGGAATTGCAATTTTCTATGTTCGATGATAATGTCATATTTATAAGAATCTTACACCGGCTGCCGGTACAGACCGGAATATCTAGCTCGAGGGTAACTGTTTACGTCGGTAACGAGGCTCTGCCGAGTTTCCGCTAAACAGTTACCCGAGAGCTAGATATTACCGTCTGTACCAACAGCCGGTGTTTGATTCTTTTTCTTGCATATTACATGTCAATTATTTTCGGAACAGAAATTATGAAAACTGATATTCTCATTACGCACTTTTTTCTTATAGTAGCGTATGAACTTACAACTTCATTCATAACGGCAAATGACGTCATCCTAAGAACGCGATTCATTCATAAAAGGCGCGCGTCAATGACGTCATTTAAAGCATGCGACTTGTCTTACATGGGGGTGTAAGACAGAGTTTTCTAGCACCGGTGTAAACGGTAGATAATTCTGTCTGAGATGCAAGAAATAACAACGACGTCTTTAAATGCACTCAGTGCAAATTCTGTTGATGATCCAATTGTGGAAATGACTTCATGTTTTAACACAAAATCTATGAGATCTTTAGAGTAGCACAATATCTGTAGACGTAATAGAAGACCACAACTCGCAACCGTATAGCGCTTTCGAGATAATTGTAGCATCGTATATTTTCTTTAGGGTAATTAAAGCACCATGGACTGATCCCACTAAAATTTATGCTCTAAGTCAGGGTCTTTCAAATAGAAATATTTGAAATACCATGTCTAAGTTAAGTACAAGCGTCTTCAGTCGTTTTACTTGTTGAAAGAAATGAATCACAGTTCCCACCAAGATGTACACATAGTTCGATGTTTCTAAGATTTTTATATTACCAAGGTTAAGAAGTCTCTGTCACGACCATTATTTCTCCGTTCATTCAAAACCATTATAGCTCATTTTTTCTGCATTATTACTATAGTGCAACCGCTTTGAATATTCACTACAGATATCAAGCATAGACAGAATAAGACACTAAGAGCATATCGTCTGCTACGATAGGGGAGCTAACTCTTACATTGCAAACACAAATACTGAACCCACTTTTCTCTGGCTTATCTATATGCCCATTTATGTACAGGAGATACGACATCGGGGAGATTTCATCCCCTTGTCATGTGCCTTGTAATACTCTGAACCACTCTGAGAGTTTGCCCTGACATCTTACACAACTCGGCATATTTGAATAACTGGATTAAAACGGTAAAATATGTTGATGCCGCTTCAAATACATTATTAATAATGTATGGAAAAGAATAAATATCTGTGTTCGTCTTGCAATAGTCACAACTGAGTTATTTGTTATCATTTCGGAGAAAGTTTGGCGTACAATAGATTTTTTAAAGCAAGTAACTCCATTTTGTTTTCATTAGTTGGTAAGTAGGATTATTTGTTACTCTTTTACCCCAATGAAACAAGAATAAATATGAAGTCATCTTCGCATATACAAAACAAGCAAAACAGAAATATCGTCATTTCTTTAGGGATTTTATTTCTCTCTATCTTAGCTTCAGTCTAATCAATTTGTAATATGTATTACAAAAAACACCATTCTTACAATAATAACGTAAGAATATTTTAAAAACAAAATGTGCCTTTATATACAATGTGTTAGGTTTAACTTGAAAATCGTGCATATCTTCATTCATTATCTATTGCAATTATTTGTTGTCCGTCCATTTGCAATGAAAATCGGCAAACTCTGGTTATTTTGCTTTTAAAACGACACCTGAAAAAAGTTATTGTCACCCTTCCTCTTGTTTTGAAAGTCGCTCGTGAAAAAAGTATTTTTCGTTCATCTGATTGCTTTCAAAATCTCACATGGTGGAAAACGTAATTTTCGTTTTTTTAAAATAGCACATAGAAAAGTTATTTTCGTCTGTTTGCTTTGAAAGTAGCACGTGAAAAAACATCGTCAATAGAGTTTGTTTGAAAATTTCAAACACAAAAGATATCACCCATCTGTGCTTTGAAAGTTGTAAATTAATCGTTTCATAATCACATATGAGAGACACATACATAGTGCTATACTAAATCTTTTTTTTTTTCAGTGCCGTTGATCGATGTTAGAAATGACAAAGTCTCAACGTTTCTGTTCTTCAGATCCAAATAAAGAATGGGTAATTAATAATGAGTGATGAACTTGTTTTGTGTAATTCTTGCATTATTATTTTGTCATACTGCAAATGAAGTAACCTTTTTCATGTATTTATTTTGTTAGTACTAAAATTCAAGAAAAATCTTGATATCATATATACATATAATTCATTTCGAATTGAGTAAATATTATTCCTTTGTACATTAAAGAAACCAGTTGTCCTGCTTCATTCATACAAATGATGGACCTTGTTCCTTAGCCTTTTTCCAGGCCGGAAATTTGCTTTTCTTTACCGGAAGTGCAGGGATTCCACACGTGGCTAAAGGAGACTTTCCAGGCTGGTCATTCATTGCCTCGTCTGTACAAAATTCTTGAGGTGATTTATGTGTTGCGTCGTCTAAAGCTGATGTTTGTTCACTTGATCTACTTCTTGGTAATGTTAGATATGTTCGAGGAGTGTCATACAAAGAGACATCTGATGTGTCAAGAGATTTTGCAGGACTTATTGTTGATTGAAGGTCGCCTTTTGAATGTCTCCTCAGTGATGAAGGCCTCTTTGGGAGCACTGGGGGCTTCATCAAACTGTCAAAGAACTTCCTGTCGTTTCCAGTGGCTGAAGCGTTTAAATGAGCTGTCTGAAAGTAAGAAATAGATTTCCCTTCAATACTGAATAGTATTCTGCAATGGAATATGACATTCAGTTTAACTTGCTCTTTAAAATCTGTATAAGTCAGAGAAGGATAAAAGTATGTGTTAATAAGAATATTACTTTTCGGTTTGCTATTGTTGGCAAATGTTTAGAACAGACATCCAGTGTATAATAATTCAAAGGGATACATTCATGGTTTCAAATAACTATACCACTTTTTAAATTCAGACATAAATATTCACATGATATAACTTTGTTTTTACCAATAAAATCTTCGTTTTTCATACTAGTTTACTCATTTACATGTCTAAATTGCCACAATCACTAGACACTTCAATACTTTTAACTTTTATCTTTAATTACCATTCATTTAAATGGCCTCTACATGAAAAAATAGATTTAAACCAAATTTGTTTATTTTTTTCTTCGATTTTTGTTTCATTACCGTCATGCTTAACTGATCTGAGCTAGATAATGTTAATAATTATATTCCAATTTTGAATATTGGAGTGCTGATTGAAAATAAAGATAAATATTATAGATACCTTGCATACTGGAACCGAGTTGTTTCGTTTACCGCCATGAATAACCGGAATTACCACTGTGTTTGAGATACTCTCGCCTGATGGGTTACTAAAGCCAGGTTTGATCACAGTGCCCGACGCTCCAGAACATGAGTCAATGCTTTTGCATCCAATGTCCAGTTCACAAGTGCAAATTAGCTTTGTCTGATTTTTCTCAAAGATATTGTCATTTTTTTCCAAACTCACGCTGTGTTTAGAGAGACAGTCCATTAGTTTTATTTTCGCTGAATCAAAGTGTTCAGTATGTAAAGAGTTTACTGATTGAAAAACCTTCTTCCAAAGTGTTTTCTGCTCTTCTGAATTTGACTCTGGACGTATAATTTGACCGTATAGGTTATCATCTATAGCTTTTACAGACCACAAACTATCAGCAACATCCTTGATATTGATGTCCTGTTCTATTTTACAAATCACACACGTACTCTTCTGCGTACCTTTTTGCACACTACTTCTTTCTGCATCGACGAGAATTTTATGAGCAACTTCTTCATTGTAGCGTTTGACATTTTTCATAAATCCATCCAAGACGTTTAAGTCTCTTCCCTTCATGAGACTTATCAGTGCTCGTGTACGATCTTTTCTATCGCCAATGTGTTTAAATGATTCACATTCGTCTCTTGTCAGACACCCTTCAAGA